AGCCTTGCTAAAATGATTCATGAGTTGTTGAAGGTCTTCAGCAGAGTGGGTAACAACAGCTGCATCATCGGCGAATAGGAAGTCCCGCATGCATTTCAGTTGGACTTTCGTCTTCACTCTCAATCTAGAGAGATTAAAGAGCTTTCCATCTGATCTAGTCCAGAGATTGCAGCCTTCTGTTGCAGTTCGAAAGGCATGCTTCAGCATGACGGCAAAAAAAGATCTGTTTCAGTCTGCTTGGATGTCAAAGGGATCTGATGTTGAGCCATCAAAAACTACAGTGCCCTTCATTTCTTCATGAAAGGACATGATGATGCTAAGGAGTCGAGGTGGACATCAAATCTTTGGAAGTATTTTAAAATGGCCATCCCTGCTAACCAACTCAAAGGCCTTTGTGAGATCTATGAAGGCCACAAAGAGTGACTGTCATTCCCTACATTTATCCTGTAACCGTCTGAGGGAGAATACCATGTCGGTGATGGATCTATTAGCTCAAATGTCACACTGTGATTCTCCATAGACTCTGTCTGCAAGCACCTGTAGTCTCTTCAGCACAACACAGGCAAGCAGCTTCCCTATAATGCTGAGAAGAGAGATGCCACAGTAGTTACTGCAGTCACCCCTGTCTCTTTTGTTCTTGTACAATGTGACAATGCTTGCATCCTTCATGTCCTGTGATACTCCACCTTTCCTCCAGCAAGGATAGAAGATTTCATACAGCTCAGTGGTGATGATCTCTTTACAGCATTTCAGTACTTCAACTGGGATGTTGAAGACATACTAAGGTTCTGCTGGTAGGACTATGAAAAGAATCCTGCCTGAAACTATGGATAGCTATCTGAAAGCTGAGTCATGGCAACTGGACTTCTTGTTAGGTTGAAACATTTTGCTACTCGTCTAAGTATCTTCTTCAGAGTTGGCAGGAGATCCCTGATATATCCTCCATGTTGGGTTCACTTCCCCTTGGTCTGAATAGACTCATTAGAAGGACAAAGGACTGGGAGTGAGGGATAATCCCACTTCTGCAGTCCTTCTCCACCCATTGTCATGGGTCGTTAACGGTCCTTAACAGTGGTCTTTTGGGTGTGTGTGGTCCGCATCTTTCTGGAGAGGAATGAAAGGGTATTTGTAAATATAAAGTATTTGGTCTTCTTCTTTTCCTGCTGCCCCCCCCCTCAGAATTATTGTCATTTCCAGAGAATCCTGCCTTGTCAGGACGAACTCAAAAAAGGACAACCTCAGTTTCCCCATTTCTTCCTCTAGAGAAAATTCAAGCTTCAGGGGACATCAACACATCAATAGTTTATTTACAGTCCTTAGGCCAGTCACATAAGTATAAAACCTTATAAAACCTTAAAATTTCCCCATTTCTTCCTCTAGAGAAAATTCAAGCTTCAGGGGACGTTTCTATGTTTAAAAAAACACAATTCTGGCTAACAATAATAATCTAACAACCTTTGGATTGCAAGAGCTGGAAGGGACCCTATGGATCATCAAGTCCAGCTCCTCTCAAGGAGCCACACTGGGGAACTGAACTCCCAACCTCTGGCTCCACAGGAAGAGACCTAAGCCACTGAGCTATCCTTCCTGGGGTCTTCTTGGAGTTATAGTTTGAAAAAGTTAACTTTTCTCATTTCTGCTTGGAAACCACTTGGCTTCCACGACCACTGAGAAGCGCAGACTCCCCCTGTCAAATCCACCGTTGTAGCTTCACCAGGCCCTGCAGAATTCCTAAAAACAAACAGCTCATTGATCTCCGAGGTTCATCCACTAATGTATGAGATGTGGCTTGATAAGAGAAACAACAGTCAAGCCTATTAAGGACACAGTAGATGTTTTCCTGACCCTTACTCTATGCCCTGAAACTCTGCAGTTAAAAATAGAGACAGATTTCACCCCAGTTTTTGACATCAATGATTAGAAAGGCTGCCACCTTTCTCCTCCAGCCCTCAGCAGTACTCTTTGTTTGGGCAATAATTCACCCCGTGTACTGATTTAAAAGCAAATAACATGTTTGCTCTTGGCTAAGGATAGTACTCTGGAAATCTGTATGGATTGTTATGATGTAGGATCAAATGTTCAACAGGAATGTCTTTCGATCCAGCATGTGTGAAATGGCTAATTGGGCGTTATCAAGTCTGTCAGTTTGTATTTACATGCAAGTGCACATAAACAAGCACTCCTCAATTTTAATTATGTGGAGGGAGGGGGTTTGATTCCCCCACTGTGTGTCTTGTGAGTAGAGCCAGCCTGTGTGGCTTGGGCAAGCTGCATAGTCCCAGGGCGGCCCCGGAAGAAGGCGATGGGAAGCCACTTTTGAATATGCTCTACTGGGAAAACCCCAAAAAGGTCAGAATTCAGTTGATGGCTGCTGTTGCTGTTGCTGATAATGAGGATTAAGAACGCTAAGGAAATTTGTTCCGTCTGCCTTTCCCAATGAGCCCACCTAATTTACCTTTCATGATGTCATGCACAGTTCAGAACAGAACTTCGAAAGTTACATTTTGGAGTATTTATTCATTTGATTTGAATTAAAATATTTCTGTCTACCAGATTCTCTGAACTCAAATCCAAAAATGCCATTAACATTCACACTGTATGCTTCTCAGAATGTTGTGGTAACGTACCATGTGATCCAATGGTTTCTTTTGTTGTTGTTGTTGTGGGGGAGTACACACAATAAATACATATTTTTTTGGGAGGGAGTGGTAGATTGGGGATTTTGTTGAGAAGTAAAAACTCACCATTTTGGGGACAGTTCTTAGAATCCCACATCCAGCCTGGATCCTGGGAGCTGTAGTTCAAAACAAGTAACTTCTGGCTTGTTGGCATTTTAGGAGGAAGTGGAAATAACTGAGATGTCAATTTTTCATGTTTTTTTTTAAACCAGGGAAAAGATATTGAAATGGTTTTATGATTTGGTCTTATGTGAAACTGACGTGGGTTGAAAAGAATGAGGAACTGCCAAATATGGTTAATTCACCCCTTTTTCTTCTTGATTTTGTTACTCTGCTTACTGATACTACAGATCTTTTCTCCCTCTCTTGGCCACATTCACAGACAAAAATAAGGAAACCCAAGCTTATTAATTGGTATAAAATGCTCTAAACCAGTGTTTCCCAAACTTTTTTGAGTTGTGACCCCCTTTTATGATAGCCAAACAACCTGTGACCCCACCACCACCACCACATTTACATGAAATAGGCATTGTCATGGAATAAAGAAAACATATTGTGGCATTCGCCCTTGTGGCCCCTGCTTGTCTTTCCCTCACAAAGGCTCACATCACATTTTCCTCTCACTGCCACCAGTGGATTACCTCAATCCCCAATTTGTCAGAACACTTGACTTGTGAACAGAAACAGAACTTATTTATCGAAGTGAAGCAGATCGAATGATAACAGAAGTTTTTCAGATAAACATTATACACAAGCATATAATCAACAGTTCTCTCAGTACGTACTTCTTTTCTCTTGCTATATTATTGCCACCTTCTCTACCTATTTTCCTAACCAGCTTTATCTCTCTCAGTATCTGTTCCCTCTCTCTCTCTGACTAACCAGCCCTATCTGTCTCCTCCTTCTCCCGCCAAACCTCATGTAGCTGACTCCACCTCCCCAGTCCTCTCATAGGTTCATGCAAATCAGCTCATGACTATGAATGGCATGAGTGATGTGGGCGATCGTCACACACATTAAAACAGATTTTCCCCCAGAATATAATTCTAACCCAATATATTAATGTAATAATATGTATTTGTGGAGAAGGCTGCAAATCCGATTCTACCATAAAAATCTGAGAAGAAAAAATGTCACTACGCTTTGGGTATAATTTACTTTTTTTGGGGGGGGGGAGTAGAAACAACCCCCTCTTCATGTCTCCTCCTTCCCAAAATCCCCCTCAGTGAAGAGACCCTCTCCTTCAAGCCCAAATAAAGAACTTCCCCACGTCCCCCCATGGCCCACCTCCCTGGCTCTCCTCCCTCACCTTTTAGCCCCTCTTGCCTTCCTCCTCCATGGCTCATGTGGGGCTCAGAGGCATCTCCCTGCCCAGGCCTCCATTCAGGCCTCCTCGAGGGTAACGCTCAGGTCCAAAGGGCTGACACCAGTCCTCCAGAGGGGAATGCAGAGGAGCGGAGAGAAATGAGAAATAAGCTTTCTTTGGGAGCGGGTCGGGGCGCTGGGCATGCGTAAAAGGAGAATCTGCACAAAGGGGTACAGAAACAACCGAGAATTCTAGGTGGTTTGCAATGCTGGTTCAGATTAAACTCATCTATCCTGGGGGCTAAGAGGAGTGAAATAAAATAACACTGTGTATACAATATCTAATAGAATAAATATAAAAATAATTGCAACTAAAAATAACTGTGGTGACCCTTCTGGGAAACACATTGTTGACCCCCTTGGGGCCATGAACCACTAGATAGCTCATGGGTTTAGGTCTCTGGCTACCTTTGGGGGTTCAATTCCACCCTGTGCCTCCTTAAGAGGGGCTGGACTTGAGGTCCTTGCCAATTCTCAGTTAAAAAGTTATTATTATTATTATTATTATTATTATTATTATTATTAAGACACTCAGGTTGGGAACCCATGCTCTAAACAGATGACGCTGGGGAACTTCAGGCAGAAGAAATGTTCAAGCTGTAAAATGCAGTTCTTCTAAGTCTATTTTCTTTCGCTGAAACTGCTAGATGCCTACTTTGGAGTGGAAGGCTTGAATCCAATAGATGTAAACGGGACATTCCGCTCCCTTATTTATTTGTTTTTTCAGTGATTAGATGGATACATCTTTTTACGGTCTGGGATGAAAAGAAGAACAAAACACAGGCAACAAAGGCCATTTTCTGTCTCCAAACAAACCACGGGATGTTTTTCAAAGCAAGGTCAGAAAGATGCCAGGATCAGGTTCAGAACATTTTTCTATCTAGATGTTGTTTTAAAAAAAGAACATAGAGGAATCCACTTATTTTCTTTCCAGGCATGGTTGAGGGAAAGACAGGAGTGTATTACACAAGAAGGCCTTAACACAGGTGGTTTTTTTCCCCCCCTTCATCGTTTACTTAGAAAGTTTAGGAAGTTAATGATTCCCCATATGGACCTCAGAACCACTGGGTTTTAGAAGAAAATGCTACGTCCAATGTTGCATCAAATGATGCCATAGCTGCTGCTGAGTTGGAACTAGAACCCAGGTAGGCTAAAATCTTATTTCCTTTGGGCCATGGTGGAGAATCTCAATAATTACTGAAAATTGTTGCAGAACAATTTGTCTGAAGAAAAAAAAATCTGTGTTTCATGGGACACACAGATATAGATTACTAACCTGTGTTTTCCTTTACTATATTAGTTTGATGGGAAAATGAGAAAGAGTAAGCTTATTCTCAAATCTATATTTATTCCCTAATATATCCATACTGGTGAGAGGTGTCCTCTCACATAGAAATCTCTCAGTAGATATGTAGAATTTGGAAAAATATTTTTAATTGACTATGGCTCCAAGATTTGCCCATTTAATCTGTGATAGTTGGTTGACGTGCATAAAAAGAGTGAAAGGCACTTTTATTTCTACTTATAGTAGAAGGCAAGGGAGATATTTATGAACCAGTCCTCATTCATTGCATCAAGCTATTGGTTTATTTATCATTAAATCTGTATTTTTGACATTCAAAGCCATAAACGGCTGAGTATCTAAAGCAAACTTCCTTCATGCTTTGGTTGGGGGATAGTGGGATGTCTTGGCTGAATATATAAAGCAAACTTCCTTCAGATCAAGATGCTTTGGTTGGGGGATAGTGGGATGTCTAAAACATCTGGAGAACATCAGGTTGAAGAGACGCATTTCAAGGAACATTCCTTGCTATCACAATTGTAGTGATGTCTGGAATTGCAGGCATGGATCATGGCAGTCTCCATAGTGAGCTTGCCTCGTGTTAAAGTCCAAACCTGCAGGCAGCTGTGTGGGTCCACGTCCTCAAATGATGAGAAGCAAGGCTTTTCTAGACCTAACAGTTCTTAATTTCATGTTGAAGAGCAAACTACAGTATCTCAAATATTTTGCATTACAACATGGGTGACCAAGAGCAAACTATTTCAAATATTTTGCATTACAACATGGGTGACTTGCAACAATATACTATTTGCAGCTAAGCTCAGAGAGAATGGGGAAACTCAGGGTGTATGTGTGGGAAAATATAATAGTTTCAATGCTCAAGAAGTCTCAGAGCTTCCACCCTGTAAGGGCTGGCTTCACTACACCACTGCTTTCTGTGTGTACCTTCTGGATCCTTAGGTAATCTTAGGATTCACCTCACCTCTAGGCAACCACACTGAATAATGAAAGGGCCTTTTCAGTGGTGGCTCCTCATTTTTGGAATGTCTTCCCTAAGGAGACTTGGTTGGTGCCTTTTCAACATATTGATGGTTTCCCAAGCATTTTCAGTCTTTTAGATCTTTGCTTTTTTAATTTAAATAGCTCAGTGGTTTAGCTATCTGGTTGTAAAGCCGGAGGTTGGGGGTTTGATTCCCCACTGTGCCTCCTTAAGAGGAGCCGGACTCGATGATCCGTAGGGTCCCCTTCAGCTCTGCAGTTCTAAAATGATGAATGTGAGAATTTATTCACTTTTAGATTTGCTCAAATGCTATAGCACCTTGGAATAACTGATTTTCTCTATTTTGACCTTCATCCATTCAATTACTGGCAGAGAGGGGGAAAATCCTGCTTGTACAAGTCCAGCACATCTACTTGCTTCTGTGTCGGCCCTTGTTGTTGTGCTTGTTTTCTGTGTTGTCCTTGATGGCTGTCCAGCTGCCCTCTCTGGAGAAGCACCAAGCAGCCAGCATGCTATTTTGGAGTGGGAAGCCAGTCCTGCTGAGAAAAACTCACCTGCTGTTTTTGTGTGACTAACAATTCTGCAAAAAGATGACAATGAGCAGCTTCCATAGCGTAGGGCAGAGGGGAGAATGGAGGTACCAGGAAAGGGAGGCACTGAGTAGGGGTTAGGGATCAGGAGGAGAGGAAGGGAGGAAGGAGGTCCCGGTGGAAGTAGAGGACCTCTCACAGGGGAAGCAGCTTAGAAAAAGGACTTATGCAACGAGGTACTGGAAACCAGCCTTGTGTAAGTTCCAAAATAATTCAACTGCAACAGAACTTGCACAACAGGAGTTGCATAACTGCAATGACACAATTGGCTTGAGGCCATAAAAACCCCTGGTGCTGTTGCACCAATGCAAGTTCTTTATATACAGCTTGGTAGACTGGGATTGGCTTTTCAAATCAGATGCCTAAATGCTCCAACCAAGCTGGTACAGGGCATCCTGAGATTCCAGAGCTCGGCTCCAAATTAGATGATACATGTTTTGCAGAGGTGCTCCCTCAACTGGTGAAAAGGGTTTGTCTGTCATAGCACATAACTGTCCTCACCTATGGGTATCATGTTTTGTGTGCTCGTCATAAGAAGGTAAGCACAGACTTACTTTGTAGGTCTGACAGGGAGGCCCATATCTCTGAGGAAATCCCATTCGCTCGTCATAAGAAGGTAAGCACAGATTTACTTTGTAGGTCTCACAAAGTAGGTCTACTTTGGAGGCCCATATCTCTGAGGAAATCCCATTGCACGAGGGGAAAAATGTCAACCAGAGGGAATAGACATTCCTTTCAACCTTTAATTTAACTCCAGTCTGCCTGGCCTGCAGTGGAGCATTGAGAAGGCACCAGACTATTAATGGCCAGAAAAGCTGTTTCAAGATGTCATCCACCATTGTCTTTAGACACCCAGGGATTGCTTAGTCACAACACAAGTTGCCATTTTTTTTCTTGTTATCACAGCAATTAGCATCAGCACAATAAAGGCTCTGTGGTGTTTGTGCAAAGTCATGTCTGATGAAATAGTGACACCCTCCCCCCCCACACAAAATAATTAGGAACAAAAGCACAGAGAAGCAAAACGAGGAATGGCCTGCAAGTCAGTAATCAAGAACTTTCTTTGTAGGAACATCATCTGAGATAACGGAATCATGACACTCGCAAACAGTGACCCGGAGAATGTAAATGGATCAGTCACGGAAATGAAACCTGCAAACCAGGCTTTGGAGGATAAAGTTGACAAGAAGCTCCCAGCCAAAACAAAAACGCCACGGTGCAAGGGGATCAAGGTTTAACACATTTGTTTTTATTGCATTTTAAATAAGCATTCTCCATGTTTTCTGCCATATGACAATCCTTCTTTTGTTTAATGAGTACCAGAGTCCCTATCCAATCATGTTTGTTTGTTTACAAAAGTATTTTTCAAAATGGATGGTGGCAAAACAGAGACAATTATTACAGAATTTGTTGTTGTTCAGTCATTTAGTCATGACCGACTCTTTGTGACCCCATGGACCACAGCAAGCCAGGCACTCCTGACCCCACGGACCAGAGCACGCCAGGCCCTCCTGTCTTCCACTGCCTCCCAGAGTTGGGTCAAATTCATGTCGGTCGTTTTGATGACACTGTCCAACCACCTCGTCCTCTGCTGTCCCCTTCTCCTCTTGCCTTCACACTTTCCCAACATCAGGGTCTTTTCCAGGGAGTCTTCTCTTCTCATGAGATGGCCAAAGTATTGGAGCCTCAGCTTCAGGATCTGTCCTTCCAGTGAGCACTCAGGGTTGATTTCCTTCAAAATGGATTGGTTTGTTCTCCTTGCAGTCCAGGGGACTCTCAAGAGTCTCCTCCAGCACCACAATTACAGAATTAGCGGGATATAAATGATCACAAGCAAAATTAGTCCTTGATAAGACTGTGGAGGGCCTGTGTGAACTGCCATGTTTTCAGCTGTTTCCTAAAGCCAAGAAGAGAAGGGGTACCTTTGTCAGGAGAGAATTCCATAACGATGCGGCTGCCACAGAGAAGGCCTGGTTCCCAAGTTATTGATTTCTGGGCCTCCCTCGGGTTGGCCACCCATAACATCTCGGAATATAATGGGCTGGTGGGGTGGGTGGTGGTTCTGAGGAAATGGCACTTACGTTCTTCTTGCATGTAAGCTCTACATTTGAGGAGAGAAAAGAATGCTGAGCATGCTAGCTCTACTCACCATTACCACATGGATGACAGTTTCCTTTATCCATGGAGAAATCTGGAAAAGCCCGGTTAAGCATCACTGTCCTCAATTTTCTGGCCAAGCCAGAAGGAGCTTTTCAGTCTCCACAAAATCAGCCACTGCATCCTTCAGCAGAGATATCTGACATGCTAGAAAAGACTTTGGAAGTAGTTACTACATGTAACTAGTTACTGTTTCTGGCAATGGTTGTATAACACTTACTTTTCAAAAGTTACACAAGTAGGAAGAAAGTTCCTTTACTGGTATAGTAAGTAACATTTTCCAGTCATCTTCCAAGTTACTTTTTAGAGACACTATGACAGTTTTAGGCACATTTTGGCAAGTTTTAGATCATTATCTCATCAGTCCTCCCCCCACCCCACAAAATACATGATGAGTCAAAGAAACGGACATTTCAGAGTATTCTACACAGTCCAAAATATGATGAGGTGGCAACTAGTTGCAGCCAAATTATGTAAGAAGTTATTCAAATGAATAATGACAACGGGCTACTCTCCAAACAGTGTAACATGTAAAAGGATCACATTACTTTAAAAAAAAGTAGTTTTCCATGCTTTGCATAGGACCATTTTGTTTTCATACTAATAGCTAGTAAGCTGTTTAAAGAAACTGGGTAATTCTGATAAATAATCATTTGAATACTAAAGTTTTGAGAGGAAGGCAAACATAGAAATCTTCCAACAGCATAGTTTAAGACAAAGGTGGCTTTTGGAATGGATGTGGGGGTTTCCCCTGAATATTTTTTGGGGAGAAGGTGCCCCTCTGCCCTAGTGATTAGGTACAGTGGGGTCTCTACTTAAGACTTCCCCTGAATATTTTTTGGGGAGAAGATGCCCCTCTGCCATAGTGATTAGGTGAGTGGAGACTGGAGACACATCATCCTAGCAGACTAGGCTAGGCTTAACAACTGATTTAGATGCACTTTTAGCTAGTTTCATAGCTAGCCATCCCCAGGAAGTGAAAGAAAGGGACTCCCTTACAGCTTCAGTGTTGTAGAGACCTCTGATATTGAGAAACTGATGTAAAGACAAATCAGTGCTGGGCTGAACCACCTGAAAGAAGGCTTTTTCTGCAGTATTTTTCAGTGTCAAGTCAAATAACTAAAACTGAGCCCCTGAAAATCTTATTCTACATTAAAAAAACAGCCAGAACGGATTAATTGGTTTTCAGTCCATTGCTTCAAAATTAGCTTCGTCAGAAGTGCTTTTAACACTGTTCCCTGACCTAAGGGGAAAAAAAGAAAAAATCCCCCTCTAGTGGTAGAAGGTGGAATAGCAGCTTCCCATTAGTTTCTATGGACGGAAAAGAGCAGATACGGATTAAATGGTTTTCAATGCATTCCTATGGGAAATGCAGATTCTACATAAGAACTTTTCCACTTGAGAACCACCTTCCAATACGGATTAAGTTCTTAAGTAGAGACCCCACTGTAACTGGAGACTGGAGACACTTCGTCCTAGCAGACTAGGCTAGGCTTAACAATTGATTTAAATGCACTTTTAGCTAGTTTCATAGCTAGTCACCCCCAGGAAGTGAAAGAAATGGACCCCCTTACAGCTTCAGTGTTGTAGAGAGCTCTGATATTGAGAAACTGATGTAAAGACTTCATCAAATCAGTGCTGGGCTGAACCACCTGAAAGAAGGCTTTTTCTGCAGTATTTTTCAGTGTCAACTAACTAAAACTGAGCCCCTGAAAATCTTATCTCTTGGCCATCTTTGGGGGGTGGGGAGAAGTCTAACACCATCAATAATGTCCCAAAGTTCAAACCTCTGCTTATTTTGTTTACTTATCTCTTACTGGGTTATACAATTGCTTGCAGTTTTGCCCAGTATGTCACAAGTCTATTGATTTTGAGACCAGAAAAAACAACTAGAAGTCTGTATTGACACATCTGGATAATGTTTAAGCAATCCTCAGGCACTGTAGCATTAAAGAATTAGCAAGGCTGAGAATCACATTGGTAAAAAGACATTTTGTTGAGCCTAAAATGGAGACCTCTCATGAGAAAGCATAGTGTTTGGCTTCTGCCTAGTAAAATGGAGGAAAATTATTGAGCAACGAAATACACCACAATTCAGTGAGATGTGGACTTCAAAATATCCTGTTCAAAATCACTGAGAAATGATGTTAGCATATAAGCAGCCAGCTCCTCGATTTGAAACATTGTGGTGTGGTCAAGAGAAATTCGGGGTTGGGGTATGCAAATGAAGCAATGATGACAAGAAACATTTGATTGACAGCTTAATTCTCAGTGGGTCCCATCAGTTCTTGTGGGGGTCAGTGTGCGCTGTAAGCAGAAAGATTGCTGAAGGAAAGAAAAATCCAGCCTCCACCTATGGCTTAGGAAATTATGGTTGAGTCTAAAACTCATTCCAGAATTTGCCTGAATATATGGCTCCACTTCCCCCCATATAAGTGTATGACATCCAGTAGTAGTCACTTCTATTCTTGAATATATGGACAAAAAGCTATACCAAAAAGCTATACCAGTACCTGAGACTGGATGGTCCTGGGCAACATGGCCTCCACCCATTAGTACACAATACTTGACAGGTAAAGGTTCCCCTTGACATTTAGTTCAGTTGTGTCAGACTATAGGGTGTGGTGACCATCCCCGTCTCCAAGCCATAGAACCAGTGTTTTTACTGAAGACAGTTTCCATGGTCACTTGGCCAGCGCGACTAGATACGGAACGCCATGACCTTCCCACCATGGTGGTACCTATTTATCTACTTGCATTTGCATGCTTTCGAACTGCTACGTTGGCAGGATAGTACACAATATAGTCCCCCTCAAATTATCTCCTACAATAGATGGATTTTCAGTTCTCCTCCCATCATGATGCAGGATTTATTTTATTTTAGTTTATTGCTAGCACACATTATGGACTTAGCTGGCTGGATAGCTCATTGGTTTAGGTATCTGGCTGCAGAGCAAGCGGTTGGGAGTTTGATTCCCCCACTGTGCCTCCTATCAGAAAGCTGCACAGTCCCAGGACACCCTCAGAAAGTACAGAATACAGTCCCCTTCAAATTACTTCCTACAATAGATGGATTTTCACTCCTCCTTCTCCCATCATGATGCAGGATTTATTTTATTTTATTGCTAGCTCATGGTATGGTCTTAGCTGGATGGATAGCTGATTGGCTTAGGTCTCTGGCTGCAGAGCCAGTGGTTGGGAATTTGATTCCCCACTGTGCCTCCTATCAGTAGAGCCAGCCCGGGTGGCCTTGGGAAAGCTGCACAGTCCCAGGACACCCTCAGAAGAAGGGAATGGCAAACCACTTCTGAATATTCTCTACCTGGAAAACCCTGAAAAAGGTTGTCATAAGTCAGAATTGACAGCACGTGATGGTGATGATTTAAAAACACGAGGCACAGTCAATCAAGATTATAAAAACATTTGTTGGTATTATATAACAAATACAGGTTTTAACCCAAAACCTAAGTACCTGTTAAATATTGGTGCAGTATGCATGCTGTTCCTAATATTGTTGGCTTTTTTGGTAGCCTTGATGGTGTTATTTCTGAGATCTACTTATAATATTGTGTGAAGTTTCTTGATTTGTGATGGTGATGATTTAAAAACACGAGGCACAGTCATTAAATATTATAAAAACATTGGCTGGTATTATATAACAAATACAAGTTTTAACCCAAAACCTAAGTATCTGTCAAATATTGGTGCAGCATGCATGCTGTTCCTAATGCTGTTTTTTTGTAGCCTTGATAGTGTTATTTCTGAGATCTGCTTATAATATTGTGTGAAGTTTCTTGATTTTGTTCCCAAAGCCCCAGTGACTATGGGGACCACTGAAGTGCGTTTCATGTACAAGCGAGATGTTTTGATTGACAGATCTCTGTTTTTTGTTAGTTTTTCCAATTCTTTATTTTAAACTCCGGAATTCCCTGGAATTGCAATGTCAATGATCCAGACCTTTCTTCGTTCTATTACTACTATGTCTGGTGTGTTGTGTTCAAGATGTCTATCAGTTTGGATCGGGAAATACCGCAAGATCTTGACATCATTTTCTAACACCTTCTCTACCTGATGTTCCCATGGGTTTTTGGAGGCGGCAAGCAAGTTGTTGTTGGTGGTGGTATTTATTTGTCATTGCTGTTACACATGTGTTCTGTTCAATTCATCCGAGTACCACTTCTAAAGCATATATGTGACAAAAATGTCCCAGAAATGTTGAGGCACATCAAGGCAGCTCTCCTCCCCCCTATGATCAACATGACCATTTGGGCACAGTATTATCTGGATACCACTGGTTACGCTGATGACACCTCTACTTCCTGAGGGTGAGGAAGGGCTATCCTGAAGAATGAATATTGTCAAATGCTACAAGGTGTCAATCATCCTGTGTATGAAGTGGTTGGTGCAATTCAGGCTAACGAAGCCAAAATCAGATTCCAAAACCAGATAATCACCCATGAGTATCCCATCATAAAATAAACTTTATTATTTTACTAAAATCAGTATGGATACATACTCAAATGGAGGCAACATTTAAAAGACCCTTTGTCATCCATGAGCAGCTCAAGCCATTGTCTACTTCATAGTCATTACTCAGAAAGGTACGGAGCTACGTCTGAGAAGACTTTGATCTCTCAGACTGTCAGGATGGACGGCTGCCACTATTCTGAGGGAAATTAGTCCTCACTTCCCATCACAAAATAAACTTTCTTATTTTACTAAAATCAGTATGGATACATACTCAAATGGAGGCAACATTTAAAAGACCCTTTGGCTTCCATGACCAGCTCAAGCCATTGTCTACTTCATAGTCATTACTCAGAAAGGTACGGAGCTACGTCTGAGAAGACTTTGATCTCTCAGACTGTCAGGATGGACGGCTGCCACTATTCTGAGGGAAATTAGTCCTCACTGATGTAACATTTCTTTCTGTTTCCGTCTTTTGCTAGGGCTTCCTTGCTGCTCTAGCCTTCACCTACTTCAGCAAAGTATTTTCAGGTGCCATCATGAAAAGTTCCATCACGCAGCTGGAAAGGAGGTTCGACATTTCCTCTTCAATAGCTGGCTTCATGGATGGAGGTTTTGAACTGGGTAACTGATTGAGAAAGTACATTTTGCGAAAGTATATTTTGTTTAAGCATTTTATTTACTGACAGTTCTAACTAATATTGGTTGACGCTTTCATTTTTGGGGGGAACTTCAACTCCCAGAATTCTTCAAAAAAAAATATTCCTCCCTGGCAGAATTTTGTGGGTTTTAGCTTCATTGGAGAAGAGCCCTCCTTCAAGGTGAAAAGATGACAATGAAGAAGAACCAACTATGGTGCTTTGTGGGAGCTGTAGTCTACTTAGTATGCCTCCTAAAGACCTATGACTACCAGGAAGCACCATAGCAGTTTCCTTTTTAAAATATTAAGGACGTATAGGCTCAAGAAGGCCATGCAGCCTTGGAAATATGCCCTCCTCCAATTGAATAAAATGTAGGTGTCGGTAGAGAGACGCTTGTAGACTGAAACTCTCAGATTTCTGCCTTGGAAATACTTAGAGAACCCTGGGTGTTGGAGAAGGAAGGAAGGAAGGAAGGAAGGAAGGAAGGAAGGAAGGAAGGAAGGAAGGAAGGAAGGAAGGAATTGCAGCCTTACAAACCACTATACCAGAATACACTCACTGATTGATTGATTGATTGATTGATTGATTGATTGATTGATTGATTGATTGATTGATTGATTGATTGATTGATTGATTGATTCTATTTATACCCCACCTATCTGGTCATTGCGACCACTCTAGGTGGCATTGTTCATTGATCAATGTCAGAAAGCAATCCAAGTGAGTAAAATCTGGGTCAATAAAATCGAGACACACCTTGGAATGGTTTTATCTCTCAACGAAAAATTTAAAACAAGATCTTTTCCACATATTGTTTACTATGTATAGCCCCAAATAGAGCATTATGCATTGTCAGCTGTTTTCCCATGGAAGTTATTCCCAACGGTGATCACAATGAATGAATTTTGCTGGAGTCATCGTCTATAAAAGAAAGGTTACCTTGTTTAATCCTACAGCAACGACTGCCTTCTTTTTTCAGCTTCAGGCCCATGGCTAATGAAAACAGGCGCTAGTTTTGTTTTTAATCACCAACTCTACCCTTGCAGTAATTTGCCAGATTTTTTTTTTCCAGGGAACTTGCTGGTGATTGCATTTGTGAGTTACTTCGGGGCAAAACTCCACCGGCCCAGGATGATCGCCCTTGGCTGTTTTGTGATGTCTCTTGGGAGCTTTTTATCAGCAATGCCTCACTTCTTCATGGGATAGTAAGTCTGCTTTTACATCTGATTGGTTTGCTATGGATGCTTTTACTGGAAGCGCTTGTTTGAGAGGTGGGCAATATAAATGGGTCTGTAACAAAATGTTGCTGCATGGTTTACTTTTGCCCAGTGTTCAGGATGTTCCATTTTATTCCACATTCTCCATTCTCCATTCCAGTCCATAGTTAATCGGTATTCTGCATTCAGTGAGCTGTCTCAGTTGTTTTTCGGCTTTTTTGCAGGGGAGGAAAATTTCTTTCACTGCAAATTGCTCCAAATGCCCCCCCCTTTTTTGGTGTGTGCACTTCTGCAAACCTGGTATTCACCAAAGCCCAGATGTTTCTTGTGTCTGATATGGGTTATGTCAGCATAAGGTTATACAACAGGATATCACCCAACAATTGTGCTATTCTCTCTCCATACCAGCAAATTCTATCACCCTATCCCTGACATCTGAGTGTTCAGCCTGGAGGCAGGCGGTGCACCATGGCCTCCCCCAATTTGAAGAGACCCTTGTTCAACAGGCCAAGGCAAAGAGGCAGTCCCAAAACCAGCAAAATCAGGGAGCTGGACTGGGGACAGATTGTATTTGTCTTCAGTGTGGAAGGGATTGTCACTCTCGAATTGGCCTTCTCAGTCACACGAGACGCTGGTCCAAGACCTTTATTCAGAGCACACTACCATAGTCTCTCAAGACTGAAGGATGTCTAAATTCCTGCATCATAATTACTAGATTTAACCTTTTTTTTCAGTTATAGGTACGATACATCATCACATTCACAGGACAACTCAACTTCCAGCATCTCTCCTTGCTTACCAAATCAGACAGTTCCAGGATCAGATAGTGTCTTAGGGACAGGTAAAACTGTGTTTTCTCAGCGAAAGCTTGTGGTTACCAAGTATAGATCTATATACAGTATAGCTCAGTGGGTTACGTATCTTGGCTGTGGAGCCAGAGGCTAAGAATTCAATTCCCCATTGTGCATCCCATAAGAGCTAGTGTGTGTGGCTTTGGGCAAGCTGCCAGGACACCCCCAGAAAAAAAGGAATGTTAAACCACTTCTATATGGAAGAAAACTTAGAAAACCCTGAAAAGGGTCACTATAAGTCAGAATTGATTTAGTGGCACATAATTGTTACCTTGGGACGTGGTGGCGCTGCGGGCTAAACTGCAGAAGCCTTTGTGTGCTGCAGGGTCAGAAGACCAGCAGTCGTAAGATCGAATCCATGCAACGGAGTGAGCTCCCGTCGCTTTGTCCCAGCTCCTTGCCAACCTAGCAGTTCGAAAGCATGTAAATGCAAGTAGATAAATAGGGACCACCTCGGTGGGAAGGTAAACAGAGTTCTGGGTCTAAGTTGCACTGGCCACGTGACAACGGAAACTGTCTTCGGACAAACACTGGCTCTACGGCTTGGAAACGGGGATGAGCACTGCCCCCTTGAGTCGAACACGACTGACTAAAATATCAAGGGCAACCTTTACCTTTACCTTAATTGTTATTATACGTGTTATCCTTGATGGGGTGGGTTATCACAAAAAATGTCACTCTGTATTATATTCTTCCCTTGTCCCCTAGGTTTGTCAGCTACCCAATGCAATGTCATTACATTGCTATACATTTCCCTGGCCCCAATCCATATAATTCTGATTAGAGATGGGCACGAATCACTTCGTGCTGAGTCATCTAAAGTTGTCAATGCAGCACCATAGATGCTGTGCTTTCTGTGGTTCACTTCCCCCCCCAGCTCCCTCCCTCACCACCCACTATGCACTGTTCTTTCCTTCCTCTTTGTGTGATCTTCCAGTCTTGGCAAGAGCACAGACTGAAGGCCTCCGCCACCCAGCTACTCAAGGGCTTCAGTGCAGGAATCTCTGCCCCGCCTCCTCAGCTGAGTGGCCAGCTGTCAGAGGAGTCAGAGGAGAGAAATCTGTTTTCCTGCCAGGATTAGAGGATTGTGTGAAGCAGAAGGAAAAAACAGTGTGTGCTGGGTGGTGAATGGGGGAGCTGGCCGGGGATGAGATCAGGGAATGACTTTAGATAACTCGGCACAAAATGATTCGCGCCCATCTCTAATTCTGATGTTGTATAAGTGCTGAGGTCACAGCCTTGGAGTCAAGCAATGTTTACATGGCAGGGTAAAAAGTAGGAATGTTGACAATGTGGCGCTTTGGTTTTCTTGTCAAGAACTTTCCAAAATTTAAAAAAAAACAATGAATTTGAAGAAATGCAGAGAAGGAGGATGAGAAGCAGGTAATAAGTATGCTTCTACTAGGAAAGCATCTAGTCATGGGAACTAGGCCATTCCCACTAATGTTGCTGTTTAGTCGTTCAGTCGTGTCCGGAGCATCTAGTCATGGGAACTAAACATTCTTTCATGGAGGGCCCATCCAACTATTTGAAAAACTAGGCCATTCCCACTAATGTTACTGTTTAGTCGTTCAGTCGTGTCCGACTCTTCGTGACCCCGTTCCCACTGATGGTACCAGCTATATTATGAATCTCACTTTGTGAAGCAAAACATACTTTTGCTTTCTGGAACATCATTTCAAGGGCAGAGAGGATCCTGGGAATATGAGCATTGACTGTTCCAGCTTTCAAACTTATCAGGGAATTGAACCAGGCCCTATTTGTGCCCCATTTTAAAGAGCTCACATTTGGGATCATTTGTGAAGTTACTGAAATCTGTATTTCATTGCTCATTCTTCTTCCTATAATTGCTTTGCTTACAGACTGTACTAAACACATTAAATCTTATGCATGGATTTTTGTCTTGATGGGAAATCTGCTACGTGGAATAGGTGAAACACCGATAACGCCACTGGGCATATCTTACCTTGATGATTTCTCTAGAGAAGAAGATACTCCTCTTTATATTGGTAATGTCTAAAGTGGAATGATTTGTGCGTTTAATACTGCTTAACAACATCTAAAGCTGGCTGGATAGCTGAGTGAGTTAGGTAACTGGCTGCAGAGCCTGAGGTTAGGACTTCATTTCCATATTGTGGATCTCAGAAGAGCCAGCCTGGGTGGCCTTGGGCAAACTGCGTAGTCCCAGAGCACCCCTAGAGGAGGAGAATGGTAATGCACTTCCCTAGAGGAACAGAATGGTAATGCACTTCTGAGTACTCTATACAGTACTTAGAAAACCATGAAAAGGATCACCCATAAGTCAGAATTGACTTGATCGTTATTATAATATGGTTATTGATTGATTGGTTGGTTGATTGGTTGGTGGGGTATTTTCACTCTGTGATGATCGCAGGGAAGCGATCATCGTAAAGCCCCCATTTTCACACAGCTGATCGGTGGTTTCAAAATGGCCGCTGGGAAAAAAACATGGCCGCCCGCTGTTTTTTGGAACGGATTCCTCGCTTTAGAGGCACCAAAAATGGCGGTGCTATGGAGGATCTTCGCTCAACTGTGAGTTTTAAGACCATAAGAATGCATTAATTGTGTTTTAATGCGGTTCTATGGGCTTTTTTATTTCACTTTGCGATGAAATTGCTTAGCAGCGATTTTTTCTGAATGAATTAACATCGCCAAGCGAGGCACCATTGTACTTAGAAAACCGTGAAAAGGATCACCCATAAGTCAGAATTGACTTGATCGTTATTATAATATGGTTATTGATTGGTTGGTTGGTTGGTTGATTGACTGATTGATTGTATTTATACCCCATCTATCTAGTCGAATGACCACTCTAGGTGGCTTCCAACATACATAACACAACATATAATATATAACAAAACATTTATAGATCAATATACAGATATTCAAGATGAAAAGGAAAAAATACAAGAAGAAAGAAAAAAAGGGAGTCAGGTATTAACTGGAGGGAAGGCCTGCATAAACATCCAAGTTTTCAATTGATTTTTTAAAATGCCCAGTGAAGGGGCTGCACGAATCTCCAGAGGAAGATTATTCCAGAGGCAAGGAGCTACCACCGAGAAGGCCCAGTTTCTTGTTTTTTCCTTATGGGCCTCCCTCAGCGTCAGGCTCCACAGCCTCACCTCTGGTCTCGATCAAGCGATACGGGTAGATTTTGGTGGGAGTAGGCATTCCTCCAGGGATCGAGGCCCTAAACCATTTAGGGCTTTACACATGAGCATTATTATTACTAACAACATTTAAAGCACAAAGGCAGGTTTAAAATTTTGTGGACTGTGGTGATAGGTGATCTGCTGAGAACAATCAAAGTAAATAATTTTACTTCTGTCTGGATAAAGTAGGAGGAAGGACATAATGTTCTCAGGACCAAGTCCCCATATTCATCACACTGTGTTTTGCAATGCTGTATTGTAACAATTGTACTGTTGCAGCTTGGTAACACAGAGAATGTTGATCTAGTTGTCTGTACAGTATTCTATTTCCCCAGCATTTGCTATAGGGAAACAATCTGCCTAATAAATAACTACCTCACTCCCTTTGTTTCCAGAACCTTTAAAAAACCATTTCATTACCGGTATTTGCAAAAATTGGGTTACAAAATTTGTCTTCCTTTTCTGGCTCAGTCCTACATCAGCTGAGGCTGAATGTGAGAACATGCAGGATGCCCAAAAAGAAGTGTTGGTTACAGCACATACCTAAACTCTGAAATTCATTGCCATAGGATGTAGTGCTGGGCACTAACTTGGAGAACTTTTTAAAATATCATGGAGGTTAATGTCACTTGTGGCTAATAGTCGGGATGGCAATCACTTCTAGTTATGGAAGGTGATATGCCTTCCTAGTTCAGTTGATGGGAAAGGAGAGACAGAATTTATTAGTATACCCATATCCTAGTGGACACTGCAAAAGACTGGCCACTGTGTGAACATAATTCACACTTAATTACTTTTACTTAGTCTTTTGTTCTATTTTCCATCTTGATCAATACTAACATTGTCGATTTAATTCATGGTTTTAATTGTTTTATGAATAATTTTATTGTGAGCCGCCCTGGGTAGACATAGTCTAGAAGGTATATACATAAGAAAACTATAATTTACCCTAGAAAATATGTTCATCCTGTGGGGACGATGCAAAGTATATCATTCTGTGTGCATTCACACACAAAGGAAATGCATCAGTCCAAATGGCCAAAGTGGCCCTAGTGTAGAATAGTGTAGAATATATGAGGTCATGTGCCTTGATATGTATTGATATTATTTTTCTTTATATTTGTAGCAATTTTACACACAATAGCAATGATTGGCCCAATGGCTGGTTTTCTATTGGGATCACTATTAGCCAGAATGTATGTTGACATCGGCTTTGTGGATCTGGGTAAGACACAAAATCATTATAATGTATTGATCATGATATGGTTTGGTTTAGATACGTCATTTCCAACCTTTTTTTTTTCACTTGCATATCTCTTAGCAACCATTTTTTATAAACGGTACCCTTCATATTATGGGGATGTGGTGGCGCTGCGGGTTAAACCACAGAAGCCTCTGTGCTGCAGGGTCAGAAGACCAGCAGTCGTAAGCTCGAATCCCCGCGACGGAGTGAGCTCCTTTCACTTGTCCCAACTCCTGCCATAGGTACCAGTGGGAAGGTAACGGCGTTCCATGTCTAGTCGCGCTGGCCACGTGACCACGGAAACTGTCTTTGGACAAACACTGGCTCTATGGCTTGGAAATGGGGATGAGCACCGCGCCGCGCCCTTGGACACGACTGGACTAAATGTCAAGGGGAACCTTTACCTTTACCTTACCCTTCATATTAGCAAAATGGGCAACAGCACTCAAATGTTTGCAAAGCAGAAGAGAGTGAAAGTTTTGAGAAACACACCATTGAGCATGCACACTGCAACATATTGTTTCCGGAGGGACTCCTCACCATTCACCAAAATAACAAAGCTAGGGAACTGAGGTTTTTTTGAGGATCAATAACAAATAAAACCTCTTCTGCCACTCATCATAGCATCCTATTAATTTCACAACTTTTGAATTGCATCTTGGCTTACACAGTTGGTATATATGCCTTTTTCTACCATTATTCTTTCTTTTCTTTTCTTTTTTTAGTACCTCTAAATGTCCTGGTTTGTACCCCTGAGGGTAGCATACCCCAGGTTGGAAATCACTGGTTTGGATCATAGGATGCTATTTGTTGTGCAAACAACCTTGTTCTTCTTGCATTGGGGTGGGATATTTTAAAATTTTAAGAGTCACATTTTCTGAAGAATCAGCACAGAATTAGACCTACAATGTAAATACTGTATGACATTATCACCTCAAGAATTGGAAGCAAGTTTAATGTATAAGTCTTTTTTCCCACTTTAAAAAACAGGGTCAAAATTTCCCCAACAGCTCTACCACATGTTATTGCTTTTAGATTTTATTTTTGTCGCAATAGCATGATAGATTGTTGTTTTAGGGGTTTTTTTTGAGCTGTTTGAGCATGTTCTGAAGATTTTTCTTCCTAACATTTCGCCAGTCTTTGTGGCTGGCATCGTCAGAGGACATCAGGGTGTTTTTTTGTTATGGGTGTATTGTATACACTCATAACAAAAAACAATAAAACACACCCTGATCACCATAATCACCCAATCTCCTGAAAAGGACAAAAAGCTGATCCCACAGCTACAAATACTCAACTATCCCACACACTACACCAGAACACAGAGAGAGTTCTAATTCCTGACCTCTGAAGATGCCAGCCACAGAGCCTGGTGAAATGTTAGGAAGAAAAACCTTCAGAACATGGCCAAACAGCTTGAAAAACCTGTAACAACCATCAGATCCTGGCCGTGAAAGCCCTCGAGAATACATTTAATATATTACATGTCTAGAAAGGAGAAATATCCAGTTATAATACAAACTGCAATGCAGCAGAAGTGAGCTAATCTAGTTGTCAGTAGGTTGGCCTCCTAATTATGCAAGCTACACATTACCTTCCCTTCTCAAACTGGGTATTCAGTGTACTGACCTCAGAAGGATGGAATGCTCAGTTCCGTTTTGAACTGGCTGCCTGGAACTGAACCTGGGTTGTGAGCAGAGTTCGTGCTGCAGTACTGCATTTTAACCACTGCACCACAAGGCACTGTGCCATGAGGAAATTTCCCCCAGAAGCCCAAGAGGCGGCAAAGAAGCCTGCAGTTAGCCCATGGGCTACACTTACTGACCCCTGGTCAAGGTTAAATGAATGTCAACCTAGCTAACATCAGATTAACCAGGAAATTCAAGGAGGACCCTGTCTCTTTCTTCCTCTCTTAGCTCATTCCTCTTCATGGCAACTGAAGTCACATTTTCTCATCTCCACCATCTTGTTCTCATAAAGAACTCCTTTCTTTCTTGTGGCCTGCAGTTCCTTCTTTAGACACATCCTCTTCCACTTTGCCCCCCGATCTCTGAATTGAAGACCTTTCATTCCCCCTTTTACTTTCCCACCCGTCTTATTTTAATCCCTCTATTGCCTTCCCTGTCCTGCTTCCCACATTGTTATTATCGAAATGCAAGTATATTTGATTCTGCAGCTCAACCAACTCGATTCCGGGCCTCTCTTACTGTAGATACAATCACAATAACTCCAACTGATTCTCGCTGGGTTGGTGCCTGGTGGCTGGGCTTTTTAGCCGGTGGTGCCATCAACCTGCTTTGTGGAATCCCTTTCTTGTTCCTGCCTAAAAGTCTGGACAAAGAAGGAGAAAGTGCCTCTGCCAAGAAAAAACTGGCTGCAGGAAAAATGAATGACAGCGGTCACGAAAGCCGTATATCCAAGCCTGAAATTCCGCACAAACATGGGAAGCCAAGCCTGAAAGGTAAGAATGTTGAGGATGATCTTGCCTTCACTCTTGCTCCCATGGCTACTAAATGGCAGTCCAAAAGACCCAGAGAAGGCAAGGTGTAATCCAAAATAAGGATCTAACTAAGCAGACAAATTGAAGTGGGCAGGATCAGGCTATGTAGGGTCACTTAAGGGCAGTTAAGATCAGATGGAAGTGTGTGGTGCTGTCCTTGCATTCACATGCAAGAACCAGGTGGGTTTTAAGGTGAGGGAACCATTCTGCTCCTCAAGAAACCTTGTTTAGCATGATCAAGGTCTTCTTTCACTTCAAAAGAGAAAGATTCCTCAAAATCATTAAGTCTGTCCCTTAGGAGCAGTTGCCTCAGGGCTCTCATTGTTCCTAATGTATCAGCAATGCTTTGAAACAGGGTTTTTGTAAGTGCTTCCTATTTAACACTCTTGGCAAAAGGGTACGTTTTCCCTTTTAATCTTCTTTTTAAGAAGAAAGGTGTGGCAAAATTATTTTGAATTTATTTTATTTATTTATTTGATTTATATCCCGCCCATCTGGTCTATAGGACCACTATAGGCGAATAAATGAACAAACAAACAAACAATGCTTGGACAGCACTTTAAAAAGAAACCTATCGCTGATACCTTAGCAGCAATTTAAAAGAAATGCAAAATTTCTCCCCTGTCCTCCAGAGAAGAGCCCAGAGGAAGTATCTTCTCCAAAGGGACAGACAGGTAACACTTTGGTTTGATCCCAACCATCATACTTACTGGAAACAAACCAAAACAGAGCAATCTTATCCCCCATGTAAAAACAGTAGCCCCTGAGAGAGACCCATAAAAGTGTGTGTAGGAGTACTCTAGAGATGGGCTGGTTAGCTCTGTCATTTATCAATGGCAAAAGAAGCAAACCAGTTCATCTCCAGAGCAAGACATAGGCCTGTGTAGTCATCCCTTAAGGAAAGGCTGAAATCAACAGCAACAAACAAGGATCAAAGGAGGTTGAAGACATTTCAAAGGTAGTTGAGATGCATGACAGCAGTTGAGGATGGGGAGGGGACAGAAGTAGGAGAGTAGCAGGCAGTGTTGAGAGAAAATTAAGTAAGAAGAGAACCCTAGTGGTTCATGAGATCTGGCACCCTGCACATGACTGTGGAAACTCCCAGTTTCACACACACACACAACATGTGCATAGTGGGGCTTAGAAAGTTACTCTTTTTTGAGGAGTGGGGATACAACTCGTAGGATTCCCCTCCCCCCATCAACCAACTTCTCTTTCTTCCAGGATTCTTTAAATCCCTGAAGAGGCTTTTGGGAAACAAATGTTATTTTTTATTCCTGTGTATATCACTGCTGCAGTTCAGCAGCTTCATCGGTTACTTGACATATAACCCGAAATACATGGAGCAGCAATATGGCCAGGCGGCATCCAAAGCTAATTTTGTAACAGGTGAGTCTGCCTCTAGACTTAGATGTGCCTGTTTTTCTCTCCATCCTGTGTAGACACGTTGCTTCCTGAGACAAAGCAGCCAACGGCCGCCTTCCCACTCACTCAAATCACAGGGCATAATATTCAAAGGAGAACAAATTCATGAGAAGACAAAGGATCCTGGAAAACATTAACGATGCTGGGAAAATAGAAAGGCAGCAGGAAAGGGGGAAGACCAAATATGACATGGATTGGTTTAATAAAAGCAAATCCAGCCTCGAATTTGCAAGAACAGATCAGAGCTGTTGATGATAGGACATTTGGGCAATCATGGAGAGGCAGTGTGAGCAGGGGGCTTCACCACCACTGAGCCTGCACCCCTTCCACTTCCCAAGGTAACCTGGGAGGTGACAATACTTACCTTGCCCCAGGTGCTGGCAACCCACACTATGCCACTGAGCAACACTCTCCAGATGTTGGAGTGCGGTTCCAAAATCATTTACTTTGGACCATGCTGGCTGGAGTCTGGGGGAGGTGAAGCCTAACCACATCTGGATAACCAAAATTCAGAACTGCAGCTATATAGCTGCATATCTGCCCTTTTCATTCATTCAATATACAACTTTGTTTCCATTTTTGTTCAAACATACTTTGTTTGCGGCTTATCCTCTCTCTAATCAGCTGTAATGGCAGAGAACATGACTTTCTGTTCTGTTATTTTTCATTTCAGCTGTTGCCGTTTTACCAGCCGTCTGCCTTGGCATCTTTTCAGGGGGGCTCATCATGAAAAAATACAAATTGGGCATGGTGGCGGCCACAAAAATGGCATTTACCTTCTCGTTTCTGGCATTCTGCGTTTCGCTTTTCTATCTGACCGTGGGCTGTGACAACCGCTCCGTGGCTGGGTTAACAGTCTCCTATGATGGGTATGTAATATGTAAGCCTGGACGTGTGTAGCAGAGATAAGGCAAGGAGGGGTGTCTATGCATGCTTTTTTCTCCTACTTTTGCCAACCCTAGATGCAAAAAATAATAAAAATACATTTTTTAAAAAAAAATACCAGGGAAGTTGTGCTGGACTGGCATTGACGTGTGGATTCAGCCTTCGAAACTTGGAATGGATCCCTGAGCCCAATTCCATCACCCTCACATTTATTTTAAGACAATAAGAAAGTTTGTATGTTTAAAGAAATACACTTGGGATAGGAAGTTCTAATTCTAGTTCACTGGCCTGCCCACACTGGAAAATTTGGTGCACTCTGCACTTAAAAAGTTCTTATTTTAAGTGCAATCTATTTTAACTCTCATTTGAGCAATCCTTCTTGTTCACACTGGTGATCGTGCTATGGGCCCTTCCCCCCCTCCATGCTACAAAGCAAGGTTTCCTGGTTTACATGTGAGTAGATTGACCTGGTTTATTTACAAGGAGAGATGGGCACGAACTGGTTTGTCCCAGTTCATCCCAGTTCGTCCCAGTTCATAAAGGTGGCAGTGCAAGTGGTGCTGTTCTCCTCCCCACCTCCGCTGGCTCAGTCAGCCGCTCCTCAGGGCCAGCGTGCTAATTTCCTGCATCTCCTCAACTGATCTTCCAGTCTTGGCAGCAGCTCAGGCTCCTCTGCCCCACCCTCTTGGCTGATCTCCCAATCAGAGAAAAGGGTGGGGCAGAGATCTCTGTGCTTTTGCTCCTGACTGGGAGATTAGTTGAGGAGGTGGAAAAAAGCACGCAGGTTGGGCCTGGTGAGGGGCTGTATGAGGCCCTGCCTTTTCTCTCAGACATCATTCATGCGGCTAAGGTGGCTTCCCCTTGTCTGTTGATTGGTTTAAAACATATTGAAATGGCAATGCATCAACCTGGCATGGTTTTACAATTTCACTGTGTTGGTTTGAGGCCCTGCCTTTTCTCTCAGACATCATTCATGGGGCTGAGGTGGCTTCCCCTTGTCTGTTTATTGGTTTAAAACATATTGAAATGGCAATGCATCAACCTGGCATGGTTTTACAATTTCACTGTGTTGGTTAGGGAAATATTAAAAATAAAAGAAGATGAAAATAGAAGATGAGGTTTTTTTTTCCACCCTCCTTTTTAATGCCACAACCCACTCAATACATTACAGGGTTGTCTCCTCAGTTAATGCTCCCCCCCCCCGGGTAATTTTTTGGAAAGCAGTTAATGCTCGCCCCCCCCGGGTCATTTTGGGGAAAGTACCCAGCCATGAAGGCTAAACAAAGAGCTATTTTGCATCTCATCCAGTCACACCCTACTCCTGTGCCAGAAAAGTGTGTTAACAGCTTTTAAAGTGGAAGGAGGGATCATTCTAAGTAGAAACAAGAGTGGATAAGGTCTTTTTTTCCCGTGCCAAACAGTGCCCTCAGGGGATCCATATACTGTACCACAATATATATATACCAGGTTGGCCGTTTCCATGCTCCTATTTGATTTTCGTCATCATCTGTCTTCATGTTTTGTTTTCCAGTTTTAAATTTGCCAGATTTTATTGATTTGTAAGGGGCTTCACACCAAGACATAGGGATGACGTATGAACAGTGTAACTACATATATATTTGCATCTGTTCTAGAATGAACTGAGAGCGCATCTCTGTGCTTCTTTTTAAAGGCAGCCAATTGCTCGGGACACTGCGCTTTTATCTGCAGAGTGCAACTCTCAATGCAGCTGTGCTGCGAATCAGTGGGATCCTGTCTGCGGGGACAATGGACTCACATACATGTCGGCATGTTTTGCAGGGTGCAAAGATGCCACAGGGTCGAGGAAAGAGACAGTAAGATGTATTTGTTTATTTCACTCCTCTTTTATCTGTGCACCTGTTGCAGAGTGAGGATCAAGTGATTAAGAAGAGCGGCACCGGACTTTTTTTCCTTTTGAATAGGTTGTCATAAGAAAATCAGTGTTGCCTTGGATAGCATTGCATACACCTGGGAGTCAGGAAATTTTAGGGGTCGGATCATACTTCCACACTCTTAGGGAGCAGGCTGGGTAGGTGGGGCTCGTCAGCTTTGGGAGGCAGCCCATCTAGGAGAAGGAGAACTCTGATTTCAAACCTCCACTGCCTTGTGGCTATATCCACTGATGGAAAAGGCTTCAGGAGTTAACCTCAAGGCAAAATCTGGAGTCGGAGTCCCGGAGGCAGTTTGTGTCATTCTGCCAACTCCTGCAACATCGCTGGAACCAGTTGTATTGGCTCTTGCCTTTCCATTGGACTATTTCAGCAATGTGGAGAGGGGGGATTTGCTGCTTGGGTAACAGCCTGTCCTCCATATTATTTTACCCAGGCTTCATGCTCTGGAGAGGTCACTCCAGCTTCGCATACAGCGTCAAAACACACACGGAAAGGGATTGCCACTCTCAAATTGGCCTTCTCAGCCACACTAGATGCTGTTCCAAGTTTCTTATCTGCAATTCTGAAATTGTCCCCTGCTTCTCGCTCCTAATTCTTGAAATTTGAAATTTTTGAAGTTTGTGTAATTTTACTTTTCCTATTTTGCTTGTGTTGTTGTAATTTGTAAATGCCATTAAAGGTTTCAGAACACATACAGAGCACTTTACCATAATCTCTCGAGACTGAAGGATGCCTAACAAACTTGGACGGCCTATTTCTGTCCAACACATGATCAGGGGACAACTTTCCCTTTCTGTTGTCATTTTCTCGATAGAATGATTAATGTGCCTACGAAGAAGAGGTTCTTGCTCATCTGTAGGCTCCCCATGTGAGCAAGAACCCCAGAAAACTGAGGTTCTCACTTTCATGGAGAGACTTCATAGGAGGAAGGACCTCTCTTCCATAGATACATTGTCCTCTACATGGAATAAGAAATGATGGAGAGGGGAAGGACCAAACATTTCTCTGCTTGCAGGTTGGAGAGAACCAGTAAGTAGCATCTGAACAGGCTTGGTGATGTAGTGGTCAAGTTGGTGGACAGGGACATATCAAGTCCAGGAATTGCAGTTCCCACCCCCAAAACCATCCAGTCCTTGGACCAGGTTTTGTTGGGCAATCTGGACAGCAGTACTTCCCCACCTCTGCTTTAGACAAAAAGAGAGAGAGAGAGAGAATGGGAGAGGAGTGGGGGAAGGAGGAAGGGATTTGATATCTGTGCCATCATGTTTTTTTTTTCTTTTAGGTTTTTCATAATTGTAGCTGCATCGCAAAGGCCAATTCCGTGGTGAGAAATCACTCCTCAGCAATTTTGGGAGAATGTCCAAGGAGTGAGGACTGCTCAAGAAATTTTATTTATTTCACAGTGATAAAAACAGCAAGTTCCTTGTTGTATGCTTTGGGAGGAACACCATACTTCATGTTGACGATTAGGTAAGCAACAGATGAGTTCTGCAAGAAAATGTTGCATATTCAAAATTTGACACAGCTATTTCCCTCCAAAATGGGCATCTCCTAACACTAGTTTTCTGTCTTCCCTCTCCTCCCTGCCTGGAGATATGCAACATGCTCAGAGTGAACTGCTTAAGTTATACTCTTACCCTTTGTGCCAGCATTGGGACCATGTCCGTGGACCGGAGAAGAATTGGATCTGAAGTGAACCAGCTTCTTTCATTTTCTGCCTATTCTCCACCTCTTTATTTGCTTTTTTGGCAGGCAGATGGTAGCCAGGGGAATACTAATGCCTCAATATTACTCCATTGGAAGACCAGTAGGAGCAGGTGGCAGGAAATGCCTGCAGGATGGCATTTCTGTTAACAGAAGGGACTTGGGCTTGATCCTAACTTCCTACAGCCAGTGCATCTCTGTTCTTCCACTGTGTACAACCAACTTTTTGATAAGAGCTGGTGTTAACAATGCACTTGTCATTTGTCTTTTCCCCATCTCATTTGGTCATGTCTGTTATTAAGATGGGGAACACAGGAAAAACAATCTTATTATGCAAAACCCCTCAATTGATTGGGATTTTTGCCAGATTCCATGGGTTCCCACATGTGTCTTTTGGGTGAGGTTCTAACCTGATCCTTGTCAAGGTCTAGGATGATGTTTGGGTGTTCCCAATCTTCCATCAAAGAATCTGTCAAAGTACAGATTGCATAGCCAAATAATAACAGGACAATGATAACAGGAAGTGTATGCAATCAACATTTTGACTGATAGTTCATTGTCATTTTTAAAGCCTGTTAGCCATGTACTCGTCATTCTTTTTTCCACATCTTATTTGGTTCCCAACCTTCCAACATGTACCATGCGCGTCTAAGCCTTCTTAAATGCCATGGGTTTCTACAAGTGGATTGTGATCACCTAAAGCTCATGCTGAAGTGGATCTGTTCATCTTTATGGTGCTACAGCTATCTTTCATTCCTAACTCATGATGCCAGAATGGAACCTTTTGCTTGGGAAGCATGCTCTCAACCATTGAGCTATGCCCAATGCAAGACATTCTGGAGTTGCTGGTGCAATTAAAGTAGTTGCCAGAAGTCAAACATATTATACCCTCCTTTGCAACCAAGTGTCTTAGGGCTATCAGAGACAATAGCAAGGTTCTAAATGGTATAGAAGTCTCTTCACCATGGTTAACATTTTGTCTTTCAGATGTGTACAACCAGAATTGAAGTCGCTTGCAGTAGGTTTCCATATGCTTATTATGAGAGCATTGGGTAAGAAATGGTGTGCTGATTGTCTTGGTCTTCACGTCATTTTGTTTCAAGTGCTGTGCCTATATTTAATTACTGCAACACTGGTTGAAAGGGTAGTTGAATGAGCATGAAGCAAACAGGGTGGATGAATTCAGAAGACTTGTCCTGCTAGATGAGAGTGAAGTTCTACCTCCTCTAGCATCTATTCCCTACTGCCTACAATGGCCTTTCTGATGCTTCCCAGAAGCTCATAAGTAGGGCTTGAAGGCAAGATTCTTCCAAGCATCTGGGTTGGGTAACAATACCATTGATCCATGTGGATACGAGACGTATCAAGCCTACCTCTTGTATGGAAGACTTTTTGGATAGCTGTGCCCAAAGAACCAGGTGAAGTTCTTCACCCTATCTGAGCGAAGAGAAAGGAGTATGTGGGGGCAGGGGTGGGGGGACAATTCTGTCAAAGTTCATCAGGGGAAGGAGAAATTCTCCAACCATTTTACACAAAGACAGAGCCCACCATCAGCAGTCCTTGTGGCATCCTTTTGCTCCTCCCCTAAGGATGTTGATTTTTTTTAAAAAAACATTGCTGCTCTAAGGGACGTGGTACTGCTGCGGGTTAAACCACAGAAGCCTCTGTGCTGCAGGGTCAGAAGCCCAGCAGTTGTAAGATCGAATCCACGCAATGGAGCAAGCTCCCATCGCTTGTCCCAGCTCCTGCCGACCTAGCAGTTTGAAAGCATGCAAATGCAAGTAGATAAATAGGTACCACCTCGGTGGGAAAGTAATGGCATTCTGTGTCTAGTCGCACTGGCCACGTGACCACGGAAACTGTCTTTGGACAAATGCTGGCTCTGCGGCTTGGAAACGGGGATGGGCACCGTCCCCTAGAGTCGGACACGACTGGACTAAATGTCAAGGGGAACCTTTACCCTTATCTATGGCAACAAAAGCAAAATACTTGCCAGCCGGGTACCAATTTACTCCTTCCACAGGACCCTCTACCTACTGCCTAGTGGGAAAATTGGAAATGGTACTGCAAAGTGGCTTTCTCTTTTTAGAGGAATAAGGACAAGAACACTTCAAAATCTTTCACAGGAAAAAAAAGATGCTGGCATAGCACTGGGTTCATTTTAGTCTCTACTGCACTGTTTACAGCTCCTTCCCTCCAGGCCTTGCAGCAGACATGAAGGAGGGCAGTAATTTGTGCTGGTTAGTCAAAAAGATCGTATTCGTTGTTTGTCCTCCAGTTCCTCAACTATGAGACAGGTTCCCAATTTTTGTGTCCTATTCTAAAGGCCTTTTAGGGACTTCTCTTGAGCTTACTAGCTGACTGGATAGATCAGTGAGTTAGGCATCTGGCTGTGGAGCCAAAGGTTGGGAGGTCGATTCCCCACATTGCCTCCAGGGAGAAGAGCCAGCCTGGGTTGCCTTGGGCAAGCTGCACAGCCCCAGGATGCCCCGAGAAGAAGGGAAGGGTCAATCACTTCTGAGTATTCTCTCCCTGGGATAACCCTGAAAAAAAGTCGCCATAAGTCAGAATTGACTTGACGACACATGATGATGATGATGATTTGCCAAGATTGCATTGAGTGCTGCATTTATTCATCCTTTCCTTGCTGTTACACACATATCCATGGGCTGTGTACGGATGAGTAGGAAAGCAAGTGCAATGGCTTGACTGTATAGATAAGACTTGGTCACAAAAGCCATTCCCAGGGATTGCCTAACTTTAGCGATGTTCAGCTTGAGCAAATTTCAGCATGGCTGGGGAGAGTGTCTGAGTGCTGTTGTGGAACAAAAACAACTTTACTAAGCTCTCACACATCTTGCTTCTACTATAAAGGTAAAGGTAAAAGTTCCCCTTGACAATTGTCCAGTCATTGTCCACCTCTAGGGCATGGTGCTCATCCCCGTCTCCAAGCCGTAGAGCCAGCATTTGTCCATAGACAGTTTCCGTGATCAAGTGGCCAGCGCGACTAGACACGGAACGCCGTTACTTTCTCACCGTGGGGGTACCTATTTATCTACTGGCATTTTTACATGCTTTCGAACAGCTAGGTTGACAGGAGCTGGGACAAGCGACGGGAGCTCACTCCATCGCGTGGATTCGATCTTACAACGGCTGGCCTTCTAACCTTGCAGCACAGAGGCTTCTGTGGTTTAACCTGCAGTGCCACCATGTCCCACAATGCTTCTGCTATAATCCCACCCAATAAGAAATGTATCTCCAGATGATATGTGCATCAAGTTACATGTGGTGTATGGCAATCCTAGTAGGATTTTATAGGTTCATGAGATATTTAAGGTCCCACACCCACATGAGTTTCCATGGCTGAATGGGAATTCTAATGCAGGTCTCACAAGTGCTGTCCCGTCACTCTATCCACTTAACTGCATTGGCTCTCCTGATGTTATAGATTTCTTTATTGGTGTCTTACAGCTGGAATCCCTGCTCCAGTTTATTTTGGAGCAGTAATAGACCGAACGTGTTTGAAATGGGCAAGCCCTGGCTGTGGTCGACAAGGGGCTTGCAGGATATATGATTCTATATTGTACAGGTAAGCAATGTTGAGATCCCAATGACTGTCTTCTACACGGTAGTTTCCTGATGGATTATTCTTAAGCAGCATGGTCTCCAGCCTGCCTCTTCACAGCAATCTTCATCCAATTATATTACTCTACAAGAGATGCTCAAATCATGCAAAAATAGACAAAGGTGCCCCCCAGATGTTCTTAAACTGCCACTCCGATAATCTTGTACCTCTGGAAGGCTACATATTTTCTAGCCTTGGTCTACCATCATAAAACAGGATAACACCAGGAACAGCTGTCTTTAGAAGGACAGCAGATTACAGATTCTTCATTTTTTCTTTAGTTATTTGAAATAAACTATTTGGACCAAATCCTGTTGTCCAACCGGATGCATGCAACTTGCTATTGCACAGCGTAGTTGTCCTAGCACCAAGGCAGAAGTGCTATCCCCGAAGCACTTCTGCCAGCACATTGCACAATCAGTCATGCTGGGGATACACAACCAATTATGCAATTGCATGACACAGTTCTTTGTTGCCAGAAGTAACACCCACTTTAACAATTAAGAGGTTTTACCTGATATTCAGCCAAAATCTGGTTTTGTGTAACTTGAGTCCATTATTATTTATTCCACACTCTGGGATGATCAACAACAGGTCCTTGCCCCTTCTCTGTATGACAGCCTTTCAAGTACAGTGGTGCCTCACATTATGACGTTAATTTGTTCCGGCGAAATCGCTGTAGAACGAAAACATCGTAATGCTAAAATAAAAAGCCCATTGAAACGCATTGAAACCCCTTCAATGCATTCCAATAGGCTGGAAACTCATCGGCCAGCAAAGATCCTCCATAGGGTGGCCATTTTTGGTGGCTGTCTTGCGAGGAATCCATCCCAGAAAACAGCGGGGAGCCATTTTATTTACCTGGTGGCCATTTTGAAACCACCGATCAGCTGTAGAAACATTGTTGTTTTGGGAAGAATCGGTTCCCAAAGCAGGGAACCGATCATCCGCAAAGCGAAACAAGTCCATTTAGATCATTGTTTTGCGATTGCAAAAACGTCATCGTAATGCGGTTTCGTCATAATGCGGGGCAATCGTAATGCGAGGCACCACTGTATTTAGAAAGTGTTATCCTATCACCCTCAGTCTTCTTTTCTCAAGGTTAAAGATTCTTCCCAAGCAGAGAAGCATGAGTGAAATGTATGGGCCATGTTAATATAAGCTCCATTGATAGAAAAAGACTACTCTGTTTGGAACTAACATTGTTTTAACCTCTTAGTAATCTTTCTGTCTATGTTTATATGTACACGTATGTATATTTGTGATTTCTTCCCCATACAGATATTTTTACTTTGGTCTGGCATTTGCCTTAAGAGCGCCATCCTATATTTTCTGCATAGTGTTTTTCATCCTCATAAAGAAAAGATATGAAGGAAAAGAGGCTCAGTCTGCAGAAAATGAGAAGAAAGAAGAGGTCCTTTTGAACGAAGAAGTTAAGCCAAATGACCCTGAACTTACTGCAGGCCTGAATTCAGATGCAGACAAGGACACTTATATCTAGGACACTTAACATTTAGGCCACCATGCACAATTCATGAGAGCACCTTGGACATACCAAAAATTAAATTGACAACAAAGAAGTAGATTTCCGTGCATTCGTTGTCAACCATTCAAAAAAAGCAAAACAAAACTTCATAATAATGGGAGGTGATCCTAAACTGATCTGAAATTTGCACATTTCTGTATATGTTTATGCATACATGGATGGATGTCCCCAAAAATCTGAAACATTAATTACTAGTGTTATTTATTCAGACATTTCTATTTGGGTTTTTTCAAACCAGTGTGTATAAAATTGCTAGGAGGAACTAGCTAAAACAATTGTACAACAGGAAGAGGTAAAAAAAATTGAAAAGTACAATATTATTAAGCAATACCCAGCGCCATTGGGCTTGCAAGATGTGAATGGAGCTGTTAATGATCAGACCTTTTGAAGGTCACGGATTTATAGGGTCGCCATAAGCTGAAACAATTTGATAGCACAGAAGGACAACAATGTTAGGGGGAAGCTGGTAATTATGAATTATGAATTATGAATGAAACACTGTCTTCAGTGAAGAGAGTTTTGCTGAGAATTTGGAACAGTAATTTTTTAAAAAACTACAGTTCCCAGAATCATCTGGAATACAATTCCCAGGAAGCATGGATTTGTTGTTTGGGGTGTTCTGTGGGCTATGATCCAAAAAAGTCAACCTTACAACGCTCTAGTTTTATGAGTGAACCACAGTGTCTGAAAGCTAGGAAAGATGATATCGACGTCTACTGGGCTATATGAGAAAACTGGTATCCAGTAGGAAGTAAGACTTAAGAGCATCAATCTATGGCAGGTGAGGAACAATAGAAAATACAAGACAAAATAGGGACATACCAGAGAAGCATTTAGATACCAGCAAGCTGTTATCCCTGCCTCCCTATCCCCATCCCACATAATGAATGCTCTGTCTTCCATCTCAGTGTACACCAGCCACTGAATCAAAGGGGAATAAAACCACTATAAATTTGCAATTTATAACACCCTCAAAGTCCTCTTCTCTGTACTCTGCTCCAGCCTTCAGATTGTTGCTTTCTTTGAGTTGTTATTGACTAAACGTTGGCTGGAAAGGAAATGAGAGGATAATAAATATCCCCTTTCTGCTGCTCACAGCCTTTGCTTTCTCCCTGTGCAAGATCTCCAGCTGGCATTTGTTATGCAAGAGGAAATTCCAGGGTCTTTTGTTCTTTCAAAGTACTAATGAGAGGGTAACTTTCCATTCTGCCTGCTGTGCCTGTTTTACTCTTCCAGATCAAGTTTTAAAAAAAAAAGACCTTTAAGTAATTCTGCATTTCCATCTGCATCTCCTTTCCACATTCCGGTGCCTTAAAGAGATGGGTCCAAAACTCCAAGGGCTGTTTTGGCCTGGGAAAGATTTCCTTCACCGTTTCTCACTGTGGAACATCTGAAAATGTTTTGCTTTTATCCCCTTTCATCCCAAAATAACATTCCCAATCCTGGTGGGGCTGTAAACAGCTCTTAGACCTGTATTTTCGAACAATACTGAAACCAATCCAAACGTTGCAAAGTTCCGTCCATCTTTGAATGGGGATCTTGCAGGCTTCGATGTGTCAGAGACTATGGACATGGGCAAGAGAAAAAAACCTATCCATGAAAGGGTCTTTTTGCACTCAGAAAAATGTACAGCAGAGAGCTGAGATTGGAAAGTTGCTGCTTTGGACTGCAACTCCCAGAATGATGTGGACAGCACCCCACAGCACTTAAAGCACTCTCTGGGCAGTTGACAACAGAATCATGCAGGCTACACATTGCCTGCCACCACCCAGTGAGCTGGGTACTTAATTTATTTTGAACCCATTGGGATTGAACTCAAGTTGTGAGCAGTCTTGACTGCAGTACTGCAGTTTCACCACTGGGCCATGAGACGCCTCAGGAAAGCCAGCATCCACGGGAGGGAAGGTAAAGGCAAGCAACTTGTTCAGACTCTGGCAGGGACTCACCTGAACAAAACGCTGTACTGAACTCTTTTCTTGCAAAGTTGGAAATTTTATTTTCTGCTCATTCGCATCATGGTACTCTCTTTTGGTTGTTGTGGGTTTTTCCGGCTCTTTGGCCGTGTTCTGAAGGTTGTTCTTCCTAACATTTCACCAGTCTCTGTGGCCGGGGTTTCTCAGGGGACGCCACCGCTCTGTGCTGTCCTCTGAAGATGCTGGCCACAGAGTCTGGCGAAACGTAAGGAAGAAAAACCTACAGAACACGGCCAAAGCCACTTATATTCATTTATAATGAAGCTATTTGGTGTGTGTGGGGGGGTATCTAGCCCACAACACAGCAAAATGTACCAGACTTTGTTTAACACAGGAGGTCCTGAGTGTGGGGGGGATGTTAATAAAACAGTAATAAAACAGCTCGACCTTCTGAACTGCCCAAGTGTACACTGCCCTAACTAGAAGCAATGATGCAGTGCAGAGGTTCCCAAACTATTCATTCATTCATTCATTCATTCATTCATTCATTCATTCATTCATTCATTCATTCATTCACTGCGGCGCTCCAGGACTCCACCAAACCCAGCCAAGGGCACTGTGAAATCCTCAGAAGTATGTCCACAGAATCCACAGAAGTCCTCAGCCTGGGCTTCCCCTCAAAGTATCATGGTGGGGGAGCCGTGGCTAGAGAACACAACATTTTACATGCAATTGGTCTGCAATATTTGGCAGGGTGCCTTTCTCATGACAGGCGACACATTGTTCACAAAAGCAGTCATGTCTACCTGTTTGTCTGAAAACCGTGCACATGCCAAGATGCTACGTGTAGTTTTACCTGAAAGCAGGTTGTTTCTTATAGCTTGACAAAGAAAATTGTTCCTTTATTTAGCCAGGAATAACTTGGGATGGGTAATGGATGTGTTTTTGATGGATTAACACATACATGCATCCGCAGCAATACTTGAAACCCATTTCTTAGTTTTATCCTGTTAGTAAAATCTACTTTCCTTGAAAAGCTATAGAATTACAGCCACTTAGACAAGGGGAAATTCTTTCATTATTTTGGATTCAAATGGTTTCTCCCCCCCTAAAATGTGGGACATGATTCCCACCCCCATGAATAAGGAGGGTGTAAAAGCATATGTACGGTGGACCTTCTTGGTTTTAGATGCAAGTCCTTTTGGGGCTTTTAGCACATTGTGGCAATGTGTCAGAAAGCGGATGCTTTTCTTGAGAGGAAGAGTGTGCGGTGGGGTGGGGAGTCAGGGTGCACCGCTGTTCCAGCCAGCTATTATTATACCGCTTGAGCAAAATGAAAGAACTATGCTTTCTTCTTCAAATAATGAGCCTGGGTGATCGTGCGCGATCATCGGCACATGCTTTGAATGGGGGCAGGAAACTGTGGGTGTGGGGATTTTAAAAAGGCACCATATTTGCAGTATGATAAACCAAAGGCCTGATAGTTTGGACTAAGGAACATAAGAAATACGGTAAAGGGTTAATTTACATGTATTCACGAAGGCTTTCACGGGCGGGATCTAATGGTTGTTGTGGGTTTTTCGGGCTCTTTGGCCGTGTTCTGAGGGTTGTTCTTCCTAACGTTTCGCCAGTCTCTGTGGCCGGCATCTTCAGAGGACAGCACTCTGTGCTCTGGTTAATTTACAATTCCCAGGGAATAGTTACTATGAAAAGATTGATGGTGTGGTTCATTTTGCCCCCACTTCACTCAGGTTCCCTGTCACTCAACCCTCCCTGTCTCTCAGAAAGCTGAGTGCTCATTTACATTTGTCAAAATGCAGATGTGAAAACTTTGCAGTTTTTTAGAAGTGTGAAAATCCATAAAGCAACTCCCGAACGGAAACTGTCTTCGGACAAGCGCTGGCTCTATGGCTTGAAAACGGGGATGAGCACCGCCCCCTAGAGTCGGACACGACTGGACTAAAAATGTCAAGGGGAACCTTTACCTTTACCTATGCAGACTAGGGACAAAAGAGGAGAAGAAAGACAGAAGAGGACCCTTAGCACTGCACTGAGACACCTGGGGAGAACAATGGCAACTTTGCAATTGGAAGTGGATAGCACATTTGCTTTTCTGCCTGAGCTATCAGACTTGCAAACAGCCTTGTTTGTATGTTTACCTCCTGGTGACAAATCACCAAAGCAAAGAAAGGGGGGGGGGAAGGATTTTCACCAGTGGAAGGAATTAAATCTCATGTTAGGACAAACAGAAATCTTTTACTTTATAAAAGAGATCTGCTTCAAACAACATAATAACTGTATCATCTTCTTTGACACCCAGTGGAATATACGTTATGGCATGTGTTTGAAGTCACTGCCATGATTGGTGAACCAGCATGTGTTGTCCTTTCTCTCAACACATATAAAATCAAGGAAGCATCACATTGCACCTTGATTTTTCCAGTAACAGTAATACTGAAATAAGAACTGACATGCACAGAAGGTTATCCAGGCGGATATATTGTAAAAATATTATATGGGCTTCCAGTGGATTCCCAGAAAACATGGAAAACGCCATGAAAACTAAGGAACCAACTGAGTACAATGTTAACAACAGTTAAAATTACCTCCCCTGCTATTTTTTTAGTTACACTCTAACATTTTTTAAGGAAATGGAATATTCTATTTTTTGTCCCTCGTTGGTTTTCTAAGATACTTTTAATCAACTTCCAGGTGCATTTGCCTAGCTGGATGAGGAACTGCATGCATGAAGAATGAAGATGTTTTGTTTCTGTCTGATTTTTGATGTAGAAAAAAAATTACATACTTTTCTAATTGATTTTTGCACATTTTCATAAATATACAAAATATAAAACTACTAGAACTGTTGTGTGGACTACCATACAGGAGTTCATTTGCATCTTTTGAAGCATTCACCTTGTCTTTTTACACATGCGCGCGCGCGCGCACACACACACACACACACACACACACACACACGAAAAGATGCTACAGACATTTTGTGTCCATTTTGCAAAATATGAGTAGAGCGAAAAAGCACTTGGTGTCTTAGAGGATGATTACCTTGGCCATTTACCTCACCATTTGTGTCAGATTTGGCGTGAATGAAATCAAATTAAAATCCAGCAGCTATATGAGGTAAAGCTAAGCATGGGGAAGCCAGGAGGAAATCATCCATTTTCAGTAAGGAATGGTCTATTTTTAATCAACTGGTAGGAATGGTTAAATTTTGTTCCAATTAGCTAGTATAGCTTTTCTCTACTTTTTCTCCCGTGTAGATTGCCTCATGCAAGCAGGGACTTGTAGGGGTGTCATTTCCCCTCTACTGAATTTTTGCTGTCGCTAAACAGTGTTTTTTTTAAACTTCCCTAAGTTAGCGCTGCAACAGATAACACTAAGTCACTTTGGGAAAATTAAAAAGAGGCAAGGGATGGGGTGTTCCTTGTGGAAATTGCTGATTAGCACCTTGTCAAATCACTTGAGGCAACTTCTGCTGTTGGAACTCTGTGCGTGAGTAAACGGGCTAGAATTTTTTCTGGGCAGGGCAAAGACCTCTCTACTAAACACACACACACACACACACACACACGAAAAGATGCTACAGACATTTTGTGTGCATTTTGCAAAATATGAGTAGAGAGAAAAAGCACTTGGTGTCTTAGAGGATGATTACCTTGGCCATTTACCTCACCATTTGTGTCAGATTTGGCGTGAATGAAATCAAATTAAAATCCAGCAGCTATATGAGGTAAAGCTAAGCATGGGGAAGCCAGGAGGAAATCATCCATTTTCAGTAAGGAATGGTCTATTTTTAATCAACTGGTAGGAATGGTTAAATTTTGTTCCAATTAGCTAGTATAGCTTTTCTCTACTTTTTCTCCCGTGTAGATTGCCTCATGCAAGCAGGGACTTGTAGGGGTGTCATTTCCCCTCTACTGAATTTTTGCTGTCGCTAAACAGTGTTTTTTTTAAACTTCCCTAAGTTAGCGCTGCAACAGATAGTACTAAGTCACGTTGGGAAAATTAAAAAGAGGCAAGGGATGGGGTGTTCCTTGTGGAAATTGCTGATTAGCACCTTGTCAAATCACTTGAGGCAGCTTCTGCTGTTGGAACTCTGTGCGTGAGTAAACGGGCTAGAATTTTTTCTGGGCAGGGCAAAGACCTCTCTACTAAAAGAGTTCCCTGTAGCAGCATCTCCCTCAGAAAGGTTCTTACAACTGGGCAGAGCAGTCTTGATGGAAAGTCAGGAGATAGCAAGCACATCCACAACTCTCTGCCTCTACCCTGCTGAGTCCTGACATATGACAATTGTTTGTACTCAACTCGATGGGTGAGGCAATTTCACCAGCAGAAACCAGCAGAGACCTAATCTGAAAAAAAAATTCTAATCAAAGTAGATTTTCCCTCTATGTAATCATGTCCTCAGTCTTGCAGGAAAGAGAAGATCTCATAGAGTTTTGAGAACCAGCTCTGCCATCATGTTAAGGGAGCGTGTCTCAGCCATAAACAAGGCAACATAATAGATTTCCTCACAACCCTCTAGGGAACACAGGAGAAACAATAAAATGTATATTAACCAGCCTTTTCTTTCTCGCCTCCAAGTCCCATTTATTCCAGGTTCCATCTTTTCGGGTGGGGGAGGGACAGCCTCAGTCCCCAGTTTTTGCTTGTTTCCACCCTAAATGTACACATATGAGTACGCATTTAAAAAAACATTACAAAAATATGCATAGCTTGAACTCAATCTCTCTGCTGAATAAAGTGCACTTTAGCAGTGTTTTGAAACACATCAGAAATGTGTGCCATTTTTTTCTATGCTTGCTTCTCCGACAGATGCCTTTTTTTCTTAGATACCTCCAGAGTTGCTTGTCAGTTTGAAAAACTTTTGAGTGTTGTCTTTTGCCCACAAAACCTCCAAGAGGAATCTGGCCGAGAAGATGGCTCACACATCCTTATTGATGCTCCTGCCGGAGATTTAATCCCTGCTGTGCCAACAGCGGTCAAGCAACCATGTTGGCATGATCAGGAACACACATGCACACAAACACTCACACAAGCAAACACACAGAGCTATTGTCACTGGTCGCACCAAGAGGAGCCACACGTCTCAGAATCCAAGTCAGCTTTTTCTTTTCACAAGCGTGTGTCTCCGTTCACTGATGTCTCCATGCAGGAAGACTCATCTTTCGAGGTTCCAGTCCCTGAAGACTTCATAGAGGGCACTTCAGTCCTTTCCATAAGGCTGACCTCTCCGTGGTGGTGTCCAAATCGCTTAGAGATTAAAATGCAGAGGATGATATATAAGAGGCAGCATCCAAACCTGAGCGCAGCAGTGAGTCCAAGGTAGACATTTCTAGAATACAAACAAATGTAAGAAAAGCTCAACTGCCATAGAATTGGGCCTTACTGGTCAACTCAGAGACACAAACAAGCAAGCAGAAAAAATAATTCTGGGTCCAGATGAAAATCAATCCAGAGTTCATAATGAACTCAAATGTTAAGCTGCTGCCCTTCAAACTCAAATATATAATGAGCAGCCTCTGTACCAACAGACAGAATCATCAAACAATGGAGCTGTAAGGGTCCCACAGGATCACTGAGTCAAACCACTGGGTAAAGCAGGAAATCCACAGCATGCTTCATCTGTCTCACGATAGCCCTTGAAACGTTTGAAGTCATTCATTCATTCATTCATTCATTCATTCATTTAATATGCCGGAACAAACTATATAAACTGACCAAAAAAATAATCAAAAGCAAAATATCCTTGTTATCCTTAATATCTATAATATTAAGGATAGGAAGGCTGTCACACCACATCACAATCTTCCCTTCTCAGCTTCCTCAGCTGTTTTTCATAGGACTTTTCAAATTCTTGAAAGACAAGACTTACAGAGGAGGGGCAGGATCTGATCATCCCAAAGTGCAGGACATGTAATAATGGACTCACGTTACCAGAAGCCAGATTTAGGCGGAGTCTCATGAAAAAATTGTTAACCGTTACAGTAGTACAACAATGGAAGCAATTACCCAGAAGAAGTCAGATTTAGGCGGAGTCTCGTGAAAAAAGTCTTAACTGTTAGAGTAGTACAACAATGGAAGCAATTACCCAGGAGGTGATGACTGCTTTAACGCTGAAGGCATTCAATAGAAAATTGGACCACCCTCTGTCAGATTTGCTTTGATTTGGATTCCTGCCTTGAGCAGGGGGTTGGACTTGATGGCCTTGTAGGCCCCTTCAAAGTCAATTACTCTATGATTCTATGACTCGATTTCCAAAATGTTTTCCATTCTGGTTGCCCCACTCTGAATACATTCCATCTTGTTCATCTCTTTCTTAACCTGTTGGGCCCAGACCTGGACACAGTATTCCTGGTAAGGTCTGACCAAAGCCAAATAGTACTGTAGTACTACCTCCTTTGATCTGGACAAGAGACTGCAGTTGATGCAACTGAGTACTTCATTTGCTTCTTTAGCCATCACCTCATGTTTCTGACTCATATGGAGCTTGTGTTGTACTAAGACACTTAGATCTTTTCCCCATGTACCAACTCACCCCATCATCCACTTTATATTTGTGCTTCTAATTTCTCCTCCATAAATAAAGAACTTTCTCCTTGTTGACATTCCTTCTTGCTTACTGTCTTCCTTTCTATGATAATTGAAAGTGAGTTGCATGTAATTTCCTATTAGCTGTGTCAATAGTTAAGGACTTTTTAGACATGACAGCTCTGTGATTCTTTGATGCCTAAGCAGTTCCTAACCATCCAGACACATAACAGGAAATAATAAATAGTCACCAATTAATGTGCAAGGAAGCCCGGAAAGAAACTCTGATGCAAAGCTTCCTCATAAGTTACTGTACTCATAACACAGTCAGAGGTACTGCTACATTGAGCCTTACCTAAATGCTTGTGTATCATACACCCTGCAAGATCCCGATCCACCACAGGTTTTCACACCCCATTTCAAGCAGGTTAGGTCAATCAGTGCTCCAAAATAAATCGGTGCTGGAAGCCCCCCTGCATAGAAGATACAGCAGCGAAGGTGAGCTTGAGTGAAGTTCAAGAATAGTCTTTTCAAACAGTTCACAATCAACCTTCCGTCCCAGTATTGGGAATAGACAATGTACTACGATCATCAAAATCTCATTGAGTAAATTATGGTTGCATTAAGGGCAATGAAACTATAATTGATGACAACTAAATACTGTGTTTACCTGAAAATAAGACAGTCTTATATTAATTTTTGCTCCCAAAAACGCAGTAGGGCTTATTTTCAGGGGATGTTTTAATTTTTTCAGGTACAATAATCTACATTTATACTAATACAGTCAAGTCATCTTTTTCTGGTTGCTGCAGAATGGTGGAAGGCAGGGTTTCACTTAACTGGAGTATATTTTTTGGGTAGGGCTTATATTATGACCATCCTGAAAAATCATTGTAGGTCTTATTTTCAGGTTAGGTCTTATTTTCAGGGAAACAGGGCAGTTCTTGCTTTGACTCTGGGTTTTACCTGGCTTGTCCACAACTCACCCACTCTCAGACTCATTGTGGGCCTGTCAAATGAGCTGGGAACGAAGCAGGAACTCTTTAAATACTGGCAACCCCCTTCTCCATTGACATTATCATCCTTGTGGAAGCATAATTTATGCAAGAAACTTTGCCAATAAATACAGCAGAATACAATGCAATACAACACTACACTACAGTATACTAGATAATGGTCATGAACCACAACTTTGGTGGGTCATGCCAGTTTGTTTTTTGATCAAACAGGTGTTTGGCAGTTCACAGCCCTACCTCCTCCAGCAGGTGCCCTTCTGAGAAGTAGTGCCCAGAGGAGGCAGGGCAGGAAAGCCAGGACACTGCCTCTGAGTGGGCATCTGCTGGAGGAGGCAGGGTTGGGAAGGCTGAAAAACAAACCAATATGAACTGCAAAACTTGTTTTTTGTGTCTATCTCTATACTGTGCTATTCTGTGCTGTGCCATATGTGATTGTCTTTTCTAGTCAAGGAGCCTTGTGGCAGATTGGTTGAACTGCAGTCAAGACTCTGCCCATGATCTGAATTCGATCCTGACAAGCTTAGGTAGGTGGCTCAAAGTTGACTCAACCTTCTAACCTTCTAAGGTCAGTAAACTGAGTAGCCAGCTCACTGGGAGGCAATGTGTAGCCTGCGTAATTAAATCGCAAAACACCCAGAGAGTGTTTTAAGCTCTATAGGACAGTATATACGCAGCACACTTTATACCTATGCTATGTTATTTTAAAACCAGATCAAACAGACTATGGGAAACATTTACCAAACACCCTTCCACACAAAGTTTCAATGCCAACAGCAAAGGATTTTAACTCTGGCGAAACTGATCTGAAAAAGAAAAGAAGGAGATAACAGATTAGAAGTTGGCGTGAAATGAAGTGCGTGTCTTTGGCTTTCGAAGGAGGAGAAGGGTGTGGTACAGTAAGATTAGAATGTATAGTATGTCAAAATTGAATCTGTAGAATATGAACTGCACGACATGCTGACTAGTTATGGAGCTGAAACCAACTTGAATTACATTCCACCATCCAGCTGAAATTAAAAACCTTTTTACTTCTCTCTTATTGGAAGATGACTCAAGTGCATAAAATGCGGACAGATCTTGCTCCACTAAATTTGAACATGTGCAAACTGAATTTCAAATTTCACATAGATTGGTTTTGTAGAGGAACCAGGGCTTTGGACTGCTCATTTCTCTAAGGCAGAGAGAAAGAGTTCAACCTTTTCTGCTGGAGCTTAAGCCACAAACATTCAGTTTTTCAGCAGGGCACCACCGATCTTAGTTTGTCTGCTCCTTAGGCATTTATTTTGCAACAGTTTCACTGCAGATCTTTTTCGGTCCAAACTGGACAGAAAAGAGGGAGGCCAGGATAAATAAAGCATGTTCACCTGAATATAATCATGTACAAGGGTGTTCCTCCCAGACCTAAGGTAAATGTCAATATGGACAACAGAAGTAGAAAATACGGCAGCTTTTTGGTGCAGTTCTCCCTTGGACATTGACCCAAAACTGCAGTGAAATTGCCAGATCCTGATTCTCCCACACAACTGCAGCTGTGAAACACCTGTAAGACAGAACTGGATGTGAATGATCACCGAGGAGACTTTGCATTTTTAAACAATAGATGCATTACTGCTTTGACTGGATTTTTAGTACTATTTGTGCTTTCCATTTCTAAGTGTGGCATTTGTTTTCTTCTAGGGACGTGGTGGCACTGTGGGTTAAATCGCAAAGCCTCTGGGCTGCAAGGTCGAAAGATCAGCAGTTCAAATCGTGATGGAGTGAGCTCCCATCGCTTCTCCCAGCTCCTGCCAACCTAGCAGTTCAAAAGCCTGTAATAATGCGAGTAGATAAATAGGTACCACCTCAGTGGGAAGGTCACGGCATTCCGTGTCTAGTCATGCTGGCCACGTGACCACGGAAACTGTCTACGGACAAACGTTGGCTCTATGGCTTGGAAATGAGGATGAGCACCACACCCTGGAGTCGGACACAACTGGACAATTTGTCAAGGGGAACCTTTACCTTTTTACCTTAATAATGCCTTTTATACTCATTATTCTTAGCTTTAATTATTGTCTTTTAATGATGTTAACCACCAGTATACACTCATTGTTTTTCAAATTTAAATATTATCTTTCAATGTTGTAAGCTGACTTGGGTCCTTTTCAAAGAGAAAGACGGTGAAAAAAATATTTTAAATGAATATATAAAATAAATAGCTGCAAACTATTTATAAAATAAATAGCTGCGAGCAGGCAAACAATACCATTTAATTAACTTTATGATGCTATCAAAATTCCCCTTAAGAATTTTGATGATGATGTTGATCTTAGAACTGCAGAGCTGGAAAGGATTCTATGGATCATCAAGTCCAGCGCCTATCATGGAGGCATAGTGGGGAATTGAACTCCGAACCTCTGGCTCAGCAGTCAGATACCTCAACCACTAGGTATCCAGTAGTTTATGGTACTTCCTTCCTTTCAAGCCTCCCTTCAGCCGTCAGATACCTCAACCACTGAAGTATCCAGTAGTTTTTGGTACTTCCTTCCTTTCAAGCCTCCCTTCTTCCTCAGAGATTCCTTGTTGTTATTGTTGCCACTGTTACCATTATAAATGGACTAAAGGATTTGGATACTTTTTAGCAATTATTGTACATATTACCATTGCTTGTTAACAATAATTATTAGGAGGTTTTACCAATTATTGGATTACTGCTACTATTATTATCGCTATTATGGTTGTATTGCAATGTATTACTACTACTAACTGTAAATACTAAACTAAAGAATGAAAATAGCCAGTCTCTTGTTTACTGGCAGACAACACTCAGCTTCTATTGGGTCCTTCAGCTAGTTTTACACACAGAACACACTCTCACAATCATTAAGCCTGATGTATCACTAATTCATTTTCTTCCCCTTTCTGTCTCACTTTAAATTAAAAAAAAAACTAACCAAAATTCATATGCAGTTTTGTGTACGTCTTCTAATATACGTACACATTTTGTGTGCAGTTTTGCTTAAGAGGTTTTTGCAAGCTCATTGTTCAGGTAATTTTCACCAATGCACATTTCTGTTCACACTTACCTCTATTATTGCGTGCTTCTTATATATTTTTTTTAAATATTAAGTAAACTATTCCATCATAATTAAACTTCAGTTTGTACACTGGATTGGGGACTCTGGATCTTATAATTTCCCACTCCGATATAAATCAGACTAAATTTCCTATTCTTCGTTGTTCACAAGTAAGTAGACACTGGCTCAAATCCTCTTGCGCAGCTATACTAACATCATACCTTATGGAGTTGAACTGACCAAGTTAAGAAATCACTGTAGACATTATCAGTTGCATGCTGAGTCAAACAACTCAGTATGCAATTTATAATGTTATGGTGATTTCTTAACTTGGGGCAATTACACCTCCTGTGTGTGTTACACTGGTGTAACTAGATAAGAAGATTTGGGCTACTAACATCTCCTTTGCTAGGTTATTAAAAAGTAGACTGATATTTGCATTTACCATATCTTTTCCACTTCCCACTGATGCTTTGCAGCCTGCTAGACAGGCACTCATGTACGTGATTCCGTTGCTTCCACAAACCGGATCCCAATGGTTATCTTCACATCCACAGTCGGCATTGCAGGCAGAAATGGGTTTTGCTTTCAGGAAGGATGGTTCTTGAATGCTTAAAAACAACAGAAACAAAGCTTCAGGATTTGAAGGAAGCAACTCATCTTGGAAAACTCTATTCTGTATGGATACAAATCATCATCTCATTTTTTGACCAGCCGCTCGTGTGTTTCCAAAATGGCACCACTCACGCACAAGAGTGTGGGATATAAATACATGCTGGTCTCATCCCAGCAGATTCAATCAAGGTATCACACATTATTCGACTTATCTACAATGACTGGCCATGCTCATCTGCTTCTCTCCAACATCCTCATAATCGTGAGAACAACGTTGAGGTTAAAACCCAGCAATCAGCACAAATTACCATATTTTTCCATGTATAAGACTATAAAGGTAAAGGTTCCCCTTGACAATTTTTGTCCAGTCGTGTTCGACTCTAGGGGGCGGTGCTCATCCCCGTTTCCAAGCCATAGAGCCAGCGTTTGTCCAAAGACAAGCATGCTTTCGAACCGCTAGTTTGGTGGGAGCTGAGACAAGCGACGGGCACTCACTCCGTCACGTGGATTCGATCTTACAGCTGAAGATCTACAGACCTTACAGCACAGAGGCTTCTGCAGTTTAACCCACAGCGCCACCACATCCCGTATAAGACTATACTTTTGTCTAAAATCTTTAGATTAAAAATTGAGGGTCATCTAATACACGGAAGTAAGCTGAGAGGGGAAAAAAAGTGGAAGGGAAAGCAGGGATCAAAGCGATCCTGCAGTCCTTTGATCCCTTTCCCCCTACACTTGCTAAGCCCCACTTAGATTTCTTAATTTTGGGTTAGAAAACTGGGAGGTGTCTTATACATGGGGGAGTCTTATACATTGAAAAATACGGTAATTGTACGAAACCAGGAGGTCTGCACCTTCATTTAAGGACTTGGATCAATGAAATCCTTGAGCTGGGTTGCTGATTCATTTGCTTACAGTCAGTTAGTCCTCTTGTGCTTGTTGTATGTAGATGCTTTGCTTTTCAAAGTAAAAGGATCCTGTACATAATACAGATACCATAAATCAGTAGTTCCCAACCTTGAGTCCCCAGATGTTCTTGGACCACAGCTCCCAGAAATCCTAATCAATGCAGCTAATGGTGAAGGCTTCTGGGAATTTTAATCCAAGAAGATCTGGGGAATCAAGGGTGGGAACAACTGCCCTAAATTAACACAACAAGAGCCTTTGTCACACTCTTGGCATGAGATAAGGAACCTTGTCTTCTTGTCATATTCCATGTTGAGACTTCTTACAGACTGAGGCAGCCCAAATTTGAGATGTAAATCCCACAGCCTTTTAGCTTTAATGGGAGAAGCCAAGAAAAAAAATCCTCATCTCTCCTCACAGTAAGATTTTCCCAGCCTGAGATTCATTGATCCGTTCATTGATTCCTTGATTTTCAAAATTCGAAGCATTTCTTGGAAATTTCGTGGCGATCAAGAAATACCAATCAGCATAGAATGGATTACAATTCCTCTTTAAAATGCCCTCTTTCCTGCAGATAATGAGATTCAGCTGCACAGAACTGTGCCATTTCTGTCCCAATGGAAAAGTGAAAAATGAGAGAGCGGGAGGGGGGTTAGGAGAGGAAAAAATAAAAACAGGGGCTTATTTTTGCAAGAAGCCAAGAAATCTCCCTACTGCAAAAAGGGGCATTTTTTACATGGCAAGACCTAGAGACAGTGAACTTTTCTGAATACTCCTCCCAATCCTAGCCTAAATCACTTGGGACAAGGAATTTTATAAATATTTTTCATGTCTGGAGTAGGGACAAGCTTGGAAAAATTCCATAGCTTGCAAGAGTGATCTTCTCAAAAAGAAAAAAAGGTAGAAAATACTATAGTTTATTAGGAAAATTGACAAGAACAGCTGATTAGAGCTGTGCATGTTTACTATACAATAGTTCTCTTCTGAAAATCCCCATCTTAGGTGTTTATCAAAGAAGAGGATTCAAAGATCAAGTCTAGATGAAGCGATGAAATGCATCTGATCCTCCTCACCTATTTACTCTTCACCTTTTGTGATTGGCCATTGGAAGGTAGACATAGACCTTAATTTGCAAGTTTGATAACTGGGCTACATCTCTTTTAGAAAATCCCACTGTGGGAGGGAAAACAGGTTAATTGTAATGAATATGTAATTGTAATGAATATGTAATTTCCTGACTGAAATTCGTCTGGCACTGACACTGATGATATTTCGGCGCCAGGTCAAAACCTTCCTGTTCCAGAAGGCTTTTAATTGAAATAACATTAACTGTGGGTCTTTATGATGGCAATTTTAATTGTATTTTAATCGTATTTTAAATGTATTTTAATCATTTTATATTTTATTGTATTGAATTTTAATTGTTGTAAGCCACCCAGAGACCTTTGGGTAAAGTGGGCGGCATATAAATTAAAGGTCTTTATCAAAGATGAGGATTCAAAGATCACGTCTAGATGAAGGGATGAAATGCATCTGATCCTCTTCACCTATTTACTCTTCACCTTTTGTGATTGGCCATTGGAAGGTAGACATAGACCTTAATTTGCAAGTTTGATAACTGGGCTACATCTCTTTGAGAAAACCCCACTGTGGGAGGGGAAAACAGGTTAATTGTAATGAATATCTTAGAACAGCACAGCTGGAATTAATGTTTAGTTTAACCTGAAGTCAGCACATTCAAATTCTGCTGGCTAATTCCCCAAAAAGGAAGCACAGGATGGGGAAATAACAAGGGCAAGATAAAATGTCCAGAGCACAGAGTGCTGTCCTCTGAAGATGCTGGCCACAGAGACTGGTGAAACGTTAGGAAGAACAACCTTCAGAACACGGCCAAAGAGCCGGAAAAACCCACAACAACCATTAGAGCCCGTCCGTGAAAGCCTTCGCGAATACATTAAAATGTAGCAGTCACTAGATAATTCCTTATTTATTACTCTTAATCCTGAACTGCCTTTAAGGAACAACATGCATGGGGTTATCTCTTCTCAGTCATATAACACCAGGCTGGAGTGCATCTGTTCTCAAACATGCAATGAGTTTCATGTGTGATAAACCCTGGCAATTAATTCTCTGGGCACATTTACACTGCAGTCTTAAGTGCATTCTGTGACAGGATTAGGCTCTTTAGCAGAGCATTTTGAGCGTCCTCACTAGGCAACACTTCCCAGGTGTCTTTCAAAAGAGTTCATGATTGAGGAGCTAGCTTAAGTTTCCAGTTGGACTAATTTTGAATTTTACGGTCATACTACTTTTTTATATATACAGTACATAATTTTGTGGGCAATTCCCTGACCACTCTCACATGACTGAAATTTTCTCCTCTCCTCCCCTGCTTCCTGCCTTCTTCTATATTAGCTGAAAACTGGTTTCCCCGGCCTTCCAGAAAGGTTTTTAGATATCCATAAGGAGCTACAGAGAGGGCGGGGGGGTTACTCTTTTCTGGCTCCACAGTTGGCCATCCTATTCAATGTTGGCTTTCAAAAAATTCAGACAGGCCTGAGTCAAGTTGGGAATTCCAACAAGAGTAGACCTATTCAGTTCATGTCATTTACATAATCATGGACCTTGCAGACATAATCCTGTTTCTTCATTACACTGGCGTAAGTGCAAGGGTTGTCAACTGTAGTAGTGAATTGCTGCCAGTTTATGAGTAGCCACCTGTATCATGCACCAACTCACGTAACTGGCATACAATGAAGGGTATGAGTGGTGACTTACTAAACAGCAGCAATTCATCACTGCAGTTTATGCCGTTGCACTTATGCTGGTGTAACTAACAAATAGGATTTTGGTCACTATTCCACAATTAATGCAATGGGTCTACTCAAGTTGGAATGACCAACTGGCCACAGCAACAATGTCTCTTTTTTTAAGCAATCAGATCTGAATAGCAAGAGTATAAATAAGGGTGTGTTTTTTAAATACTCCATGCGGCTGCTTTGAGGCAGGGGAGGGGGTGTTCTCTATGATCAATGGTCTTTCCGGCACCCTACACTACGTTGTTTTGTAGACACGACAAAGGCACGAATCACATTGATTGTAAGAAAATGAGGTGGAGTTTGGACTGTAATGGGCTGACGATCCCTGTGACATGGAGAAAAGAATAATCAGAAGATATTGGAAATATGCTACCCCCACCCCACACTTTGTCCCCAGAATAGACAAGGCAACAAACCCAGAGTAATTGACAGTCAAGCCAGCCACCTGAAGCACCTCACAGTTGGACGCAAAGTAGAAGAGATTTAACAAGTAGGCCACCAGATACGTGATGCATGCTAACTTCACCATCGCTGCTGGTTGTAACTTGAACTTTTTGATGATGAAACCTCCCAGGAACATCCCCATAAACATAAAGGGTAAAAGTATCACACCTGCAAAGAAATGAGAGTGTTGATAGGACCACATATATACTGACAAGAGATGGGCACAAACCCCCATTCCATGGTTTGGCACAGTTCCGCGGTTCAGTTGAAGAGCTTCTTCCATAGGCACCCTGGCTTCCCAGTCCTGCCTCCCCCTGCAGGTGCCCACACAGAAGCAGCGGCTGGGGGAGGCAGGGCTAGGAAGCTGGGGCACCCATGGAACAAGCTGTGTGATCAGACTGCCGTATCATGTTGAACCACCGTATGGTGGTTCATGCTCTTCCCTAATAGTGATCTCTAATGAAACATAATCCTTCTTTTAATAACAACATAATATCAGAGGTGCAAATTGCTTTATCAGGTCCAAGCTGCGTTGCCCTGAGAGTCAACAGCTACAGACTGTGATAACGGAGAAATTCAATCAATGCAGCATTTATGCGCATGCAATTTGTGCCCCACCACATGTACAAAAGAAACCAACTCAATGCTATTGAAATAGCCCGCTTCTGATCAAAAACAGTCTCATTATCTCAACATTTGAATTTGTTTTTGGATTTTACCTTTATTTCATATACCTCCATAATTTTATATTGTGCAATGCTTTGATATGAAGAAAGAAAGTACAAGTTATTACACAAAGCAACAGGATTTCAGCCTCAGCGTTCAAGCATAGTATCTCTCTGACTATATGCAGAATGCTTTTTCTTCGGCGCTAAAAACACCAGGGTCTCCTACCGTTCTAATTAATTTCAAGTAAAGCACTTTTCAGTTTGTTTTGAGAACAGCAACTTGCTGTGCAAAACCCTCCCCACCCCCATCCTCTGGTGCACCTAAATCCCATCTTAGTCTGAACAAGACAAGCCTCTAGTCTGAAAATCATCTGACAGGCATCAAGGGGTCACATGAGTTTAAAACCCCTTAGATTCCACTTTCCACAACACTGCAATGTCAGCTTCTTCTCCTACAGTTTCCACACTGCACCATTCATGCAAAAGATCACAGAGTCAGACATTGCAAGAGAAATTTATTGGTTTACAATTCCTAGTCTATGCTGGCTAGGAAATTCTAAGATTTATAGCCCAAGAAAACTCTATCCTACATACAATCCTTGTCTGCATGAGGCCTTTTCTTCCCTCGCCATTGCTTCATGTCAAACTGATCACAACTCAGTCACTATGTTCTCTGTGCTTGGATATTTTTCTGGTGTTCTGCAGATACCCAGGACTGCCAGAAAGATGAATTGGATATTTTTCTGGTGTAATGCAAAATCACTGCCAGAAAGATGAACAACAGAGTCCTAGAGTAAATCAAGTCTGAGCTGCCTCAGGGTCCTAGAGTAAATCAAGTCTGAGCTGCCTCTGGAGGCAAAAAAAGTAATGAAACTGAAGCTGTCCTACTTTGGGGACTACATGAGAAGGCAAGATTATCTGGAACAGACAATAATGCTGGAAAAGTCGAAAACAGCAGAAAAAGAGGAAGATATGGAGTGCTTCCCAAGGATGCCATAGGCTTGAGGTTACAAGAGTTGAGCAGGGCAGTTGAAAACAAGAGATTTTGGAGATTCCTCATTAATGGGGTAACCATAGGTCGGAGGCAACTTGACGACACATAACAACAACACTGCATCTGACACTGGAAACTCCCTTTGGCTGTCATAGCTTAAAAATCCAAATCTAATCACTAGCAAACTTTCCCTTAAATGAATTGCTTGTCTTGTCCTGTTTTTTAAAGTAACCTGAGCTAGCGGCCAGTGTGGTCACCCACCATCTTCACATGGGGGTGGAATTAGGGGCAGATCAGTGGCACTTTGCTTACTTTTGATATGATACAATAAAACACTTCCCTGTGCGTACGTTTTGTATGTGCTGTTTGTTTGTCTGTCGTATAATAAAATTATATACATATATTAAAAAGATATTATACAATACATGGGTTTCCCTTGCTTCATCGTCCTCTCACTATGTTTTTGCAGTCCAGTGCAGACAGTATAAGCACACTGACTGAAATTATGATTGAGGATCACAGAGACTCGACATTTAAATGTTGCGAATGAATTGATACTGTGACATTACCTTACGGCAGGAGTGGACAAGCCTCCTTTGCTTTGGGCCAAAAACATCTTTCAAGGACCTTACCAACTCCTGAAAATGAAACTGGAAGTGACCAATACAGATGCCTTCCTTCAGGTCAGAATTATATTCTTGGGCTAGATCAGGTGACCCATTTCTATGACTCGTTGCTTAAAAAAAGAAACAATTAGGGAGTCCTGGGGAATCCAAGCGAATCCCACTTCTTGTTCAGTTTATGTCATAAAATAAATACGTAATTCTACACTGGCCCCCAAACAAACACGTCAGAAAACTAATGGAAAGATAAAGGTGACCTACCAATAAAAAAGACGGCCCTTGAAATGGAAATGTTGAATTGCTGTTCCATAAACTTTGGCTCGTAAGTCACTGTGCCAACAAAAGAATTGAACTGGAGGATATTAAGAATCAAATAGACCAAGAAGATGGAGTTTCCAAGTAAGCTCTTCAAAGCAGGGAAAAAATCTGGAATGGAAAAAGGATACAATTTCTTCTTTCAAATTAAAGTATATCAAGGGAAAGGGATTCAGTTCTCACTCTACAGGCATCTAGATTCAATACTGGCTCTACCCCGTCTGGGCAATGATTTATACTCTCAACTTGAAACTACACTGGAAAAAAAAATGTGGGCTGACTTGCATTTGTTTTAACTGACAAATTAAAGGGAAATACAAATCAGCTCACAATCCCACCCCATCTATATTATTCTCCTCTGCCTCTGGTGCTTCTAATTTTGAAAAGATCAGATCCATTCACATCAGTTCAGAGGTGTGATGACCAGAACCAATGCAGAAGAAGGATAATGATTGTGCAAATTGATTGGCACATTGTTTACTTAGTTTAAGGAACTTTTCTCTAAAGATTTCTGTGGGGTTTTGATCATACAAGCTTTTAACCAATTTTTTAAAATATGCAAATATTTGCACATTTCAAACAAAAAAAGTTAGCTTTTAAAAATCATCATCATCAACTTGGTGTGGGAGAAAGCAAAACTGATCTAGTTTTCTTACCTTAATTCCCTATATTCTCTTAAGTGGCATGGATCTCAGTGATGTAATAGAACAGTTCTCCAACACGCTGATATCATAAAGTATCAGAGCATAATATATACTTTGACAGCATTACTACAAATTGATGTGCAAAAGAGAACCAGACCAAATAGATTCTTCAATTACCTTTTATTGCCTCTGAGACTTTCAGCTGTGGCGATGGTGGCTTTGGAGAATCTGTTTTGCCATTGTTATCTTTTGTGATGGTAAAAATGTCAGTTGTCTTTTTTCTTTCTTTTGGCAGAGAGTACGGCAGGAACCAGAAAGGCAAGGAGGACACAAAGCTGACACCTCCAGCAATCAGTATTCCGAGCCACCAGGCGCCAACCCAACGCATATCCTTTGAATTTATGGTCAGAGTATCTGGGAAAAAGAAGGAACCCCTTGTAATTGCACATTCCTCCTTGCATCAAGGGTGTTAAGGCCCATGGGACTGCCAAGGGTCAACTCTAGTTGAAAGAGAGAGAGAGAGAGAGACTGTAGGAATGGGGCTACTGTTTTGATGACATTATCAGTGTTTCATGATTATGTCAGAGTCTCTGCTAGTAAGAAAGTCTGGCTGTACTACACAATTACTTGTGAGCTTTAAAAAACAACTCTGGAGGACTAGGAGAGCCTCTGGTCTAGATTTCTGATGTCATAGAAAGATATAACAAGAGAGTGAGAGGAAGAAAATCCTGATTCTGTTAGCATTGGATATGGAAATAGAACATTAGTTATTGGCTAACACACATGTTCATCTAAGAAGACTGCATTTCAGATTCAACATGGGGACTCACCCATCTACTTATATCAAAGACATGACAGGAGATATGAAAGAGACATTCAATTCGGTACTTAAGAGAAAAGGAAGGCATAGATGATCCAGAAGAGATACAGCAATTGGGTACAATTTGAGTTCTTTCTTCCTTACCAACATTGACTGCTCCAATGTCAACCCACAGGTTAGCGCAGAAGGATCCAAGCAGAAAGCCAAACATGGGTCCAAACAACCCAAATGATCTTACAATTCCTGTAAAAGAGGTCTTAATGTAAGCACAGCAACATATTCGTAGCAATTGTCACAGAAGATGATAGCATTTGTTTTAACTGACAAATTAAAGGGAAATACAAATCAGCTCACAATCCCACCCCATCTATATTATTCTCCTCTGCCTCTGGTGCTTCTAATTTTGAAAAGATCAGATCCATTCACATCAGTTCAGAGGTGTGATCACCAGAACCAATGCAGAAGAGGGATAATGATCGTGCAAATTGATTGGCACATTGTTTACTTAGTTTAAGGAACTTTTCTCTAAAGATTTCTGTGGGGTTTTGATCTTGCAAGCTTTTAACCGATTTTTTAAAATATGCAAATGTTTGCACATTTCAAACCAAAAAAGTTAGCTTTTAAAAATCACCATCATCAACTTGGTGTGGGAGAAAGCAAAACTGATCTAGTTTTCTTACCTTTATTCCCTATATTCTCTTAAACGGCATGGATCTCAGTGATGTGATAGAACTGAATATCCAGTTCTCCAACACGCTGATATTATAAAGTATCAGAGCATAATATATACTTTGACAGCATTACTACAAATTGACGTGCAAAAGAGAACCAGACCAAATAGATTCTTCAATTACCTTTTATTGCCTCTGAGACTTTCAGCTGTGGCGATGGTGGCTTTGGAGAATCTGTTTTGCCATTGTTATCTTTTGTGATGGTAAAAATGTCAGTTGTCTTTTTTCTTTCTTTTGGCAGAGAGTAAGGCAGGAACCAGAAAGGCAAGGAGGACACAAAGCTGACACCTCCAGCAATCAGTATTCCGAGCCACCAGGCGCCAACCCAACGCATATCCTTTGAATTTATGGTCAGAGTATCTGGAAAAAAGAAGTAATTGCACATTCCTCCTTGCATCAAGGGTGTTAAGGCCCATGGGACTGCCAAGGGTCAACTCTAGTTGAAAGAGAGAGAGAGAGAGAGACTGTAGGAATGGGGCTACTGTTTTGATGACATTATCAGTGTTTCATGATTATGTCAGAGTCTCTGCTAGTAAGAAAGTCTGGCTGTACTACACAATTACTTGTGAGCTTTAAAAAACAACTCTGGAGGACTAGGAGAGCCTCTGGTCTAGATTTCTGATGTCATAGAAAGATATAACAAGAGAGTGAGAGGAAGAAAATCCTGATTCTGTTAGCATTGGATATGGAAATAGAACATTAGTTATTGGCTAACACACATGTTCATCTAAGAAGACTGCATTTCAGATTCAACATGGGGACTCACCCATCTACTTATATCAAAGACATGACAGGAGATATGAAAGAGACATTCAATTCGGTACTTAAGAGAAAAGGAAGGCATAGATGATCCAGAAGAGATACAGCAGTTGGGTACAATTTGAGTTCTTTCTTCCTTACCAACATTGACTGCTCCAATGTCAACCCACAGGTTAGCGCAGAAGGATCCAAGCAGAAAGCCAAACATGGGTCCAAACAACCCAAATGATCTTACAATTCCTGTAAAAGATGTCTTAATGTAAGCACAGCAACATATTCGTAGCAATTGTCACAGAAGATGATAGCAGACCTAGAAGGTGAGAAGAGAATCTTCAGACATTCTACTATGAGTTGGAATCATAGGTATCCATGGAGGAGTCAAAGGGTGTTTGCCCTCCGAAATCTTGCATTTAATCATTATTTTAATGTACACAGGCAGATGCACTGTGCTGCGTATTCTTTGTTTTGACTCCCTCTCATGGTGGAATTCCTGGGGACACTTTTGGTAAGAAGAGAAACATGTGCAATGACCTGGAAGAGCTATGACCTTACCTTCTCACCCGCATAAGATCAACCTGCTCTCCCAGCTGACCAAAGACCTCAGGTGGAACCCTTTACATGTTTACCGAGAAGTAAGGTCTACAAAATTTACTGGCACATTGTCCCAAGTCTTTCTATAAAGCAGTGGTTCCCAACCTTGACTTCCCAGATGTTCTTTGACTAAATCGGTGGTCCCCAACCTTGGGCCTCCAGATGTTCTTGGACTTCAACTCCCAGAAATCCTGGCCAGTAGAGGTGGTGGTGAAGGCTTCTGGGAGTTGTAGTCCAAGAACATCTGGAGGCCCAAGGTTGGGGACCACTGGACTAAATCACCCATAAGACCTCTCCATTAACTGTGCTGGCAAGGATCTCTGGGAGTTGTTGTCCAAGAACATTTGGGGTCTCAAGGTTTGAACCATTGCTAGGGTTGTGACCTTAGACTGCTGGCAAATTTTTCAATGGTGCTGCAATAAGAGAGCACATCTCTGTTTATTTGCACAGCTGCTCCTGGTTTTCTTTTACTGGGTGCAGAAGACCAGTACTTCCCCTGGTAGAGATGTTGAGAGCTAGATTCTAGGGGACAAAAAATAGCAGCCTCCTTCTTCTAGAAACTCTCCCGGGAATGATGTGAAAACTTTGGAGAGAAGTGTTTCATCAGCATTTGGTGGTCTAGGTCAGGTGATGCAAGGACAGCTGGAAGCTAGCAAGAAAAATTCACAACACTACAGCTAATAATAACAATGACCAATTTTTTAAACTAATTTAAAATAAATGAAGGGCAACAGAAGATGCTGAATGATCCATAATTAAGAATCGGAAGGTGGAAAGAAGTAAATAAAAAAGGTCACTGCATTAAAAGTCTGTCAGAAGTTGGGGGTCATTCTCCCTTAGCCTGTCACTACAGACTGCACTGGGGCTGGGGCAGGAAAGGGCTGTTTTAATGAAGAATATAAACAGGATATGTCCAGATGGGCACTTCTACTTTTAGGTTTGTTCCACCCCACATACACACACCATTCTTTGGAGATGAGGAAAACTTAGGGAAGACCTCAAGGCCTCCAAAGTTAAAGGGGTGTCTTATACATGGAAATAAGCGGAGAACTTCCCTAAGTGCTTTTTTATATACTAAATACAAAACACACAAAAATTCAGTGGGTAGAATCCTGTTGCCCTATGAAATCATATAAGGGGTAATCATGCAGGTGATTCTACCTCATTACCATGCCCTCTGTTGTGCTCTTTTACATCCACCAGCAGAACAAACAGTAATGCCCCCAGTTGAGTGCCTCCTGACACTAGGGATGGTGAGTGACAAGGCAAACAACTTGCATAATTGCCCCTAAACACATTATTTTCTCCAATAGGATAGTGGCCAAGAAGGTCCACAATGATTTCTGGGTAATTTGATACCAGGGTTTAGTGGGCTAAGGTGACTTCAGTAGCTCAATATGTTGAGTGAATTCACACAAGGGCAAGGGTTATGTGAGGAACAGAGAATGGTGTCAAACTTTACCGGGAAAGTATTGGGTAATAAAAATTCAGTACTCTATTACTCAAGGTCAAGAAGTTACTTTGAATCTTTGGCATGTTTTAGTTTTATAGGAATTCTTGAGGCATTAAGAGTTCAAATTTATGGAAAAGCTGATAACTCCTGACAATAAATGTCACAGAAGATTTTTATTATTATGCTCTGATGTTGTGGGCTTCTTGGATGTCAGAAACACACCAGAACAATATGAAGGCGGCAGCTGAGCAGTCCAGTAGGAGACAGCACAGAAGTTGGAGCACTCTGTTTATTTTTATTCTAGATTCTCTTTTAGACTATTAAAACAAACATTTTTTGAAAAGGTAAATATTAGTCGGCCAAAATTCTATTGGATATTTATGTACACACAAGAGGAACTGCAGAAGTTGCTATAGCTACCATATTTTTCCGTTTATAAGACACACACACCCCACACTTTTCTAACCCAAATATTAAGAAAACTTAGCTTGGAATAGTCAGCCTCTGGGCTCAGAACGCTTGGAAATTATGAGTCCCTGTTGCATCTGAGCCTACAGGTTCCACCTCCAACGAGGTGCATTCCAATTGGTTTGTTCAGCATCAGCTGGCGTCAGTTCCATAAGGTTCGTGATTAGAGGAAGTTAAGTCCCCAGACTGTAGGAAGCTAAGCCTCATGACTGAAGGAAGCCTGTTTACAGAGGCAAGGTATGGGCCATTTTGTTTTCTCTGTGTGCTCAGCTTACTTCCATGTATAAGACGGCCCTCAATTTTTAGTATAATGACGTTAGGAAAAAGTAGTGTCTTATACATGGAAAAATATGGTAATTGTGGCAAATTAACAAGGTGCCAGGCATTTGCCAGATGCATGCCAAGCATATGTCTGAGTGAACAATCATGCATGCAACTGGCAGCTCATCAATTAGCCATGGCAACTACTTTAACTTTGGTAGTTGATATATTACCAGAATTTGAAATCATCCTCAGGCAATCTGCAGTGTATTGCTTGTTTGGAGCATTAAAAATCACTATAGGTATTTATGTGGCAGTTTCAGGCTCCTAGTTACTAGAATATGGTTGTATGATGGCCAGTCAAGACAAAGGGGTGACAATCGGAGTGAAAAAAAGAGTCCTTTCCCAGTTCTAAGGACAGCAATTATGGGATGGAAGAGTGGTAAGCAGGCTTTCAACACTAAGTTCTTGATTGCTTTTGTCTTTTGAAAACTGATGTTTTTCATGCAATCATTTGGTACTATATGGGGCCTTGTGATTGAGAAGTACAGTAGCAATTTAAACCAAGATATAAACTGATAACTGATACATGTTGTAGACTGGGGGGTGGCACTCTATTCTAAGAATGTAAGAACATAAGAGCCCTGCTGGATGCGGCCAAGGGCCCATCTAGTCCAGCTTCCTGTATCTTACAGTGGCCCCATCAGATGCCTCTGGGGGCACACGAGACAACTAGATACCTGTCTCCTGATACCCCTCCCCTGCATCTGGCATTTTGATGTTCCTTCCTTTTACGCCTGGAGATTTATACATTCCCAACATGGCTTGTAACCTGTGATGGACTTTTCCTCCAGGAATCTGTCCAATCCTCTTTTAAAGGCATCTAGGCCAGATGCCATCACCACATTCTGTGGCAAGGAGTTCCACAGAATAACAACACGCTGGGTCAAGAAATAAAGTCTTCTGATGTTTTAGTTTTCTGGCACTGACCAGACAGACTGATGGACAGGCAGAAAGAATTGTTTTATTTTACCTATGTAGAAGGCAGAGTTTTCTTCCGTGGCAAAATCATCAATGTAGGACATTCCCAGGGGCATAATAGGGGCTTCCCCAACTCCACGTAGGAGATTTCCTGCCATCACGAAAATCCACATGTAGGAGGAACTTGTCGTTTTTTCACATTCTGCAGGCGAAAGATTTCACACATCTTTTAGTGAACATCTCAACAGAACAGCACCCACAGTTCTCACGTAAACATACATTGCAAGTACGTAGTTTGGAACAGGAAGGAGGCTAAGATATTATTGTAACCCCTGGGCCAGCCCGAGAAGTTTTGCTTCCTGCACTGCAGGAAAAGTGCAAGAAGGAGAAAGAATATTTTGGTTGAAAAAAATCCGAATGCCTGGTTCGAAGGCAACTCAACATTGTTGACAGCTAATGCATCCAGAATACTGTAGCTATGATGATGCCGAAACCTCTGATAGAAAAAGCATAGGAAGGGGAAGAGATGGTGCTGGTGGGGAAGGAGACGCAGAAGGAGATGAAAGAGAAATAAATGCCACTCCTAGCCCTCATTTCATGTGCAGAGATAACACGGTGGGAGTGATTTTCAAAAGGGTAAGTCCACGTCTCCCATGTTATTTCTTAATATTATTCAGTTGAAAGAAATCTTTTGAACATCCAGTCCCAAATCTTGTTCTGTGTGCCCTTAGACCTGGAAGCTTTGAGTTCAGATCTGACCTTCATCCTCCAAGTAGTCAGATCTAGAACTTTCTCCCACTCACCCTGTCATTTTCCCTGTCTAGCCTATGGACAGAAGAGTAACCTAGATAAGAGGGTTGTTACAGAATCAACCTGTCACACCGGAGTCTCGTGCCAATACTTGATGCGTAAGCAAATCTCCGAGATGGAAAGCCAAGTTAATAGCCATAATTGTGTCCCATCAAGTGACGACGTGCCCAAACACTCACAACAGGATCAGGTTAGAAATTGGAATGATCTCATTTTATCTCCCACGTCTCTGCCGAGCCACAGAACAGATGCACAACCTGGCACGTGTTTCGTCCGCGGAGCACCCGAGATGAAAATGCAGATGGGCTCTTGCTTACCAAGAGTGGTTAAATCTCCTGCCCCTCCCGTGTCACTCATCGTGTGGTGAAGAGGCGATGCTGATGAACAGGCCGAGACGCTGGCAGACGAGTTGGCCATAGAAACGGCAATGCTTTTGTAATTGTAACTTTAAAACAGGAGGGAAAAAATTATGGTGTTGAAATGGGGAAGATATTATTTTCATCTTATATTATTATTGTATTGTTTTTGTTCTGGCAAGCCAGAGTAGTCCTTTAAATCAATTTGCTTGATGATTCATGTATGATTCAAAAAAGTACGCTGTCTTTTTTTGAAAGTGCAGAAAGCAACTACTTCTGTTATTATAATATACAACCTTTTTCTGTTTCTTTTCTCACAGACATATGTATATATATATTAAAATATCTTCTCATTCCTCTTCCACCGGATACCAGGGTAGCCACCCTGACTGTGCTCACAACCCGGGGTTCAATCCCAGGTAGCTTAGCTAGCTGGCTCAAGGTTGACTCAGCCTTCTATCCTTCCAAGGTCAGTAAAATAAATACCCAGCTCGCTAGGGGGGCAATGTGTAGCCTGCATAACTTGTAAACCGCCTAGAGAGTGCTTGAAGCACTATTGGGGCGGTATATAAGCAGCACGCTTTGCTTTAGATGCAAATCTATTTATTACACATATTACATTTATTGCACATATTATTATGTTTAGTCAGCTGGATAGCTCAGTGGTTTAGGTCTCTGGCTGCAGAGCCAGAAGTTGGGAGTTTGATTCCCTACTTGTGCCTCCAGGAAGAAGAGCCAGCCTGTGTGGCCTTGGGCAAGCTGCACAGTCCTATGGCTAACCCAATGGAAGGGAATGGGAAACCACTTCTGAGTATTCTCTACCTGGAAAGCCCAGAGGAAGGTTGCCATAAGTCTGAATTGATTTTACAGCTTCTTGTAGTAGTAGTAGTAGTAGTAGTAGTAGTAGTAGTAGTAGTAGTAGTAGTAGTAGTAGTAGTAGTAGTAGTAGTAGTAGTAGTAGTAGTATTTTATAAGTATAATCATAGATGTAATCATATATAGATGTGGTGATATTTATAGGCGGGAAAAGTCATTTAGATTTAGATTAGATTAGATTAGCCATCCTTAAGTCTCGAGAGACTATGGTAACATGAATAGCAGTCTTGGAACAGCGTCTAGTGTGGCTGAGAAGGCCAATT